TAAAATTATAACGGAAAACACAGGTATCAGGTCCAAGTTAAGTACAGGTCAGAAAGGTACTGACATTCTTTAGGACCACTTATGGGCAACATGGCATGTTTTAAATAAGCATATATGAATATATCATCAGCACCTGGAAAAAAGCATATATAATTTTTCAGTATTTACTGTGTCCACTTTTTGCCTTTATTACAGCTTCCATTCTTTTCAGGAGACTTTCTTTCAGTTCTTCAAAGAAAACAGCAGGGATATTTTTCTCTACCTCCAAAGTTCAGTCTTAGAAGTTGGTTTCATTTTCTGCATCTTACCATCCAAATAATGCCAAACACATTCTATAATGTTGAGGTTTGTTTGGTCTTACAAAACAGAGCTGCGAGATTTTGTTATGACACTGACAACATAAAAGATGGAGATGGAGAGAGTCTTTCATTTCTCTTCATCCTCCTGCCAGGCAGCAGAGCAAACATTTGAATGCCAGGATGGGCAGATAGCGGAAAAGTGCCCAGAATGACAACTTGCTGAAGGAACTCTGCGTCCTAGCACAGGTTTGTGAAGAAGCTTTCACATTTCCCCTGAGCTTTGGGTTTTCTCCTCTTCTATAGAAGCAAGACTGCCAGAGAGGAGGATGGCTGATGCCTTTCAAGCATTTGGCCTTTTTGATGAAAAGAGCCCTTGAGCACATCGAAATGTCTGCCGGTCCCTAAAGGCTTCATTTGAAACCGTGTGTGTCATCAATGTCAATCACTGAGAATTGACTTAATAAAAGCAACTGATTGGTTGTCGATTGCAAGATGTTATGTTTGCAAAGTGTCCAGGTGTAGATATTAAGATAATGGGATCCTCATTTATTCGACTAGACTTTCCTGTCATGTTCCAAAACAGTTCCTATTACTGGACATAATCTGTCATGATAACTCATGACAGCATATGACATCTTCCATGAGATATTTATGTCATGGTTATGTCATTGTAATGTTGAAGTAAGGTTCAAGTTAAGTGTTACCCCCTTAAAATACCAGGCTTATTACATACTAAGGGTTATTGTTCAGTAACTACAGGGACTTCAATGCAAACTGGCTGAGCTATTATTAGGTTGTAGATGTGTGTAATAAACTTTGGGCCTGCCGGTGGGCCCTGGCCATTTAAGGGTTTAATCAAAATCCTTAATCATTTACAAAACAGCTGTTTGTTCTGTTTCAAATTCTTTCAAGTTTACCCAAGTTAAACATAAAAGAACAAAAGTAGCTCCCTAAAAGGCCATTATTAAAAATGCAACTCTTAAAACAAGGTTTTCTCTGGTGAACACTGCAACGATTAAGAAAGAATCACAAATTAGAAAAAAGTATGGCTATGGACTGTGAATGTGACACATGCACTCAACTGCACTGGCTGAACAATAGGTTGCTATTGGTCGAAGTATCATTTATATTGCTTTATTTTGAAGCCATCATGGCAATTGACGGGTGAAATAGAGGATTAAATGCATTATTCACCTCTGTGTGGGTTTCCTCCGGGTACTCCGGTTTCCTCCCACAGTCCAAAAACATGCAGTCAGGCCAATTGGACATGCTAAATTGCCCCTAGGTGTGGGTGTGTGTGTGACTGTGTATGTCTGTCTGTCTGTTTGCCTGCCCTGCGATGGACTGGCGACCTGTCCAGGGTGTATCCTGCCTTCCGCCCAATGACAGCTGGGATAGGCTCCAGCACCCCACCGCGACCCAGAAGGATAAGCGGTTTGGATGATGGATGGATGAATAGGAAGAAGAGACAATCTAAATTCTTAAAACACGAGTAAAGTACAGAACCTTAAAAAAAAATCATACCTAAAGGGGAATTCCGTCAATTTTCATAATTTCATGAATGCATGATTAAATTGTTAAGATAAAAACAAAGCAATTCCGGATGGTTTGATATGAAATTTTCCATTCTAGAGAAACGTGCCGAGCCAGAAACTTACTGAGTCACAGTGGTGGTGAGAGGAACCAGACATCTGAAGCACCGCATGCCTTTAAAAGCTACATCACAGACAGTTATCACATTAAATTTTTAAGAATATACTGTTTGATGTTTGAGATATTGTTTTACAATAGTTTTGAGATAAGGCTTTGGCCTAAAACATATTTTTGAAATCCATTCATGGAAAATTACAGGCAAGCAGTCTGCAGAGAAAACTTTTAGGTGTTTTTATTTAATGCTCAGAAGACACGTATAGGTTCACTGTTTGTTTTAGACAGTAAATAAAATAACTATATTTGTGTTATACACATCACAATCTCTGGTTTCTATCACCACAACTGTGAAGAAATTTGAGTCTGTAAGTTTCTCTACAATGAACCATTTCACATCAAACCACTCTGAATAACTGTGTTTACTTCTCACATAAAACTATGCAGATATTTTGGAAAATTGGTGGAATTCCACTTAAAGTACAGCAACAAAAGTATTTGTATGCTGCACTTCTTCACATTTACCATCAAGCAAAGAACACTTTAGATATTCCTTTAGACCTTAGTTCATGCCTTGACCATTAAAGGTAGAGAAAGTCAGACAAAGTCAGAGAACGGCGGACAAAGCAGTCATACAGGGAGACAGTGGGGACCTGTTTGAAGTTTGTTCCAAGCAGTTCAGTTACAGTTTTCAGTTCAGATCCGAGCCAGAATGAGCAACCCTGCCCCTCCCACTTAAACCTTTCCAGGGTTTGAACTCAAACAGCAGCTTGAGCTCCAGAGCTCTGGAGCTAAAGGACCAATAGCATGGATGAGGTGATGGAAATAAGTGCATGATCTATGGGGCAGGTCAGGAACTGGATTTTCTTTGGGCTGAGTGCCCTAAACAGTTACGCCCTTAGCAACACTGAAGCTCCTATTGGCTCATTCAAATCAATTTAAATGGAAATAGTTTCAGAGTCTGAAGTAACTGGAATAAATTAAATGAACAGTTTGGGAAACAGTTTTCAACTGGGAAAGCTGCAATGGGTTATACTTAAAGTAATTATTCTGTTGTCAGAATGTCTGAGACATTTATCCATGGCAAGATCACAAAAGCACTCAATAGGACTTCTGTTATGTGACAGCTCAGTTTATATATGATAGTATCAGCACTGTGATTGGATTTCTAGCTAACTATTGAGAAGAGGTGCAGAAACAAGTCTTGAATTTGTGCTAGAGTACAGTGATGCTGAGCAATACAAAACAACACATGAAGCGTTGCATAAAATGTAACTGCAACTAGGTGTACATACAGGCCTTGAATAAAAGTCCTTAAAACCTTATCAAACCACAAATCTTGAGAGGAAATGGGGTAAATAAGCGTAGTATATGTTATTTTACACCACTCAGAGAGTATGTTTTTTATTACATATGCTGCTATTTCCTTTGCAGCTGAATGTTTGTAGAGAAGCACAGGGGTGGGCCAGGCTGCTGAATGAAGTCCTCTGTCTACGTATGCTCCAGCCCTCTTAGCGGTTGTTCACCTCCTCCAATTAGTGTAAGATAAATTATGCATAAAAAACTAATTTTATGTAAAAATTGCAAATGACTTCATAATCTGTTTTTGAAAAACATGTTTTCCAAATGAAGAAAAGGTACTTAAAGGCAATCCAGTGTTACATTACACCATACTTAATAGTTAGTATGTGGTAATTATACACTTTTGAGATTTGAGATTTTAGAAATGGTTCTGACTGGTTCTCCACACTAGTCAGCCAAAAGATAGTATAACCTTTGTTTCATGCTAATTAAGTTTTTCTTATTTTTTATTTCTTTCCTTGATGTTAACTTATGACTTTTGTATGGCCTAATGTATAAAAACAATTGTAATCCATTTTTACATGATTGTTTTCCAACCTCTCTTTATTCCTTAGAATTGAACAGGCTGTTTTTGTTACTGGGCCTCTAAGACTGATATATGTAAATGATCTTTGTCCTGATTGGCTGCACTGTATTGTGCCTCATTTACAAAGCATTTAAGACTGAAACACTCAGCATGATTGGGTGGAGCTGAACTACTGTAGGCTGAATGGACAGACATTCAGTGAAAATCACCCATCTTCGACAGGCCACAAACTTAAATATGGCATTTGTCTGCTAATTTTAGTTCACAGTTTTTATTTATTTGCTGAGTGTAGCATATTGAAAAAAACAATGTTGTGTTTAATTGTGCATTAAAATGAGAATAAGTTCTCTGTAGAGAATGTGTTTGAAAATCAACAAATATGCACTTTGACTGGGGTGCCCAAACTTTTGCATACTGTATGAAAATGCATTGATTTTTGTGACATCACAAAACCACTGAATTTAAAATGGACTTGCTGTATATGGACTGGGAAGTAAACTGTATGTTTTAAACTTTACAAGTGTTTACATTGTACGTTGGACAAAAAATGAGGAAATGTAGTTTTTCCACAATACGAGTCCTTTAAGGTTATGAATCAAAAACGCAGCTAATTATGGTCTTCATTTTTAACATGAGTATCAAACATAACCCTGCTGAAAAATGACCATTATAAACCATTAAGATAAAAACCTAATGGTTTTGCTTTCTAATGGGAATTGGCTTTCAATAGAAACCACTAGTTTCCTGTAGAACACCTTTAGTTCACATTAGCAAGCCACCAAATGCGTTTAGAACCAGCCGTTGCTCACCTGTTTAACCATTGGGCTCCTTTACATAGTGATATCAACCCATTAAAACAGCCAAAATACATTACAAAAATATCAGGAACCAACAGGAACACTTAATGGTTTCTATATACAATTCATTTTTATGTTATGAAATATGTTTTCATATTTTGTTAGTTGTATCGTTTATACCCACAGTGCGCATGTGCTGCAGAGCACCATTACATCATTTAATTCAACATGCCAAGATAAAGTTATGCTCTCTTTTACTCCTCCTCATCCTCTCTCTCTCTCTCTCTCTCTCTCTCTCTCTCTCTCTGTCAACCCCCCTCCTCCCTCCCCCATTCTCTCTCTCTCTCTCTCTCTCTCTCTCACTCTCTCTCTCTCTCTCCCCCTCTCTTCATTAGCTCTGACAGCTAAACGTGTTCCCTGGGTTAAGTGGGTTTCTTTCTGCTCCTTGCTCTCCTACCTGAGACCTGAGCCGGTGAGCTGACGAGACAGAAGGGAGTTTTGTTCGGTAAAGGAGATTTAAAACCAACCTAAAGTGACTGGATTATAGCTTCAGGAATTCGTCTATAGGAGAGACTCTTCCATCAAACAGGTAAGACTAATCTGCCACTTTTCCTCACAAATCAGCTGCACATACCGGCTGGGTTTGCTCAGCGGTGGATAAAGTTGGTCTTTTTTGTGTACTTCGTTATTAATACTAAGGAGGGTTTAACGTAGTGATGCTGCTAATGCATGAATTATAGTCCGTGTTCATAAATGAGAGCCCTGTCAATGAAATAATAAGTGAAAGTACTTACCTAAAACAGCTTGGGTAAAAAGTCTTAGGTCCAAAGACTCCTCAGGTGCTGAACTCCCAGTAGAACTGCAGTGGAACTTCTTAGCACATCCACCGTCTATCATTTTAGGGTCTGAAGTTTTGTTAGGTGCTTTTCTTCTTCTTGTTGACACATTCGGTGTACAATGAAGTGCTAAAGCTTTAAAGTGATCTTGTGTGAGGGATTCATTTTGGTATAGCATCTTCATGCTGCTGTAAAGAAAGCACCTCTGAGAAGGTTTTATCAGCATAGTATCTCACTGGATAAAACAAGCATCGGCATCTACATCCATCAAGGCGACTGAATATAAAATCAAAGTAGAACAATGGCTAGATTGAGATGTATCTATGATTGTATGACAGTTGTTTGTCATCAAAGTGTGCTCGGATTTTTGACAGTATAGGCTGAGTGAAAAGTTGCATTGTGGAACATAAAGCTGACCCCCTAATGCTTTTGGAAGATAAATGAATATGTGCTAAGTCGTTACTGCGACTTACAATTGATTTAAATGGCAATATTGAAGAATCATAGAAATGACCATGCATGCTGAAACTACACCGTTTGCTGAAAGTTCTAAGCATTCCTTTCCAGTGTCCCAATGAGTAGCAAAACATGAATAGGCCCTGTCTTTTCCATGATAATAAATTACTTCTATTTGAAATTATTAGTCAATTATTTGCAAGCTCAAAAATTTGAAATGGCCTTTCTATACTTATAGAACCACAACTGTTTGTCATAGTTATTAATATAACTACTGGTCTATGCTTTTTTCCCGTTTTCTTTATCCTCTCTACTCTGCATGAGATGAATTTATGGCCATTCAGGTTGAATTCACATATTGATTACTACAGTATTTCATTTTCCATGTCTTGGACTGGTCTTCCATCAGTAGGGTTTTGAAACCTGGCTGCTGAAGCCACAGTGAAGAGATCCAGACCCTCCCACTCCAGCCACAGCTGCGCACACACACACATGCACACACACACACATGCCCGCATGCACGCACAGTCACAAGGCTGTAAGCAAGAGGGATCAGATATTAATCAATATCTCAATAGTCCTTTACTAGTTTCAAGGAACCATTTTCAGATGTTTATCGGTTGAATCTTTTATTTAAACTCTTAGACTTGTAAGAAAAAAAAAACATACTACGCAATACTTGCAGGTAAGGAATGTTACATGGTGATGAGAAGTGAAAGGTCATGACAGTCTATGTCTATGAACTGGAAAATGTCTATTTTCTGCAGGAGAAATTTTCAAATTCAAGCCAAGCCAAGTAGGAAAAGATGTGACAGGAGTGTTAAAGTTAAAGTGCAAAAATATTAGCCAACTAATATATATGGAGGTTCTCCAATATATAGAAAAGTTATTCCTTGAAGAACCATCCTTGGAAATGTTCTCTCCAACTAAAAGTTGATCTGTGGAATTTCTTCAAAGAGTGTAGCTTCCACTATCACAGCATTTAGTCAAATTTAAAGGGTGCATATCATAGAAAACTGAAACTTTTTTTTAAATAAAAGAGTTTGTTGTGAACATTTTTAAACTTTCAAGACCGTTCACTCCCCAGTTCATACAAAGCTGCAAAAACAGCCTATTTTGAGTGTATTGTTTCTGTGACATCATGAAAAACTGCACATGCATACATACATTCATATATCCACCATATAGCAGTTTAGCTCCACCCATTCATAATGAAGTTATAAGTGTTTCAGCCCAGACTGCTTTTTAATGGGGTTCAATGCAGGGCAGCCAATCAGAACAGAGATCATTTATATGTAGATACACCATCAAACGAAGGCACTATAACAAAAGCAGCCAGTATAATTCTGATAATGAGAGGTTGGGAAATGGTCTTGTAAACCCACACAAAATGAGTGGACCTCAGGGGAAAAAGCAAAATACAAGGATAATGAAAGTTATGGGCCTTTTAAATGCAATCAGGGCTAGAACTAGTATTACAAAAGGACATAAAAGGAAGAAGGCATGCTGCCAGATATTACAGAGCTGTGCCACTGATACTGCTTTATCAGTCATTTCCCAACAGCTTTGACTCTAATTATAGTCTAAAATGCTTTACCTTGCCACAAAAAACATTTGGTAGATTTTCAGAATGACAGATTGTTTTACTATGCTGTATATAGCCTGAAATTACATTCAATTCAACTTTTTTAGCATAACTTTTCTGTTTATGGCTTCTGTATAAAAATGTATGTTTCTTGCAGTTGGGTTAAAAGCGTTCACATCATTAATTTCTGTCTCAAACATAATTTTATGTTGTTTGCTTAGTGAGAAGAGGGGCGGGGGTAGCAGGGAGGTAGGCAGGAGTGAAGTGGAGAGAGAACATCTTGAACAAAAAGCAGTCAATTTGCAGGTTTACTCAGCTATAAATAAGACACTCTTGGCTTTCTAAGTCATGGGTAAGATTAGTCTATGAAGGAATAGTTACTGAACACTCAAGAGAAAGTCAAACAAATACACTCTCACTCTTAGTGCTGGCCAACACTGGCATACAGTCACTTGAACTGAGCCTAAAACTAAGGCTTTCCTTGTGTGTCAAATATTTGAGGCAATTTTTCCAAACAACCATTTGAGATGCAAGAACAGTAGGCCTTTCTTTATTCGTCCATGGCTGGCATCTGAGAATTAATGACACAATAATTCCCAAACTGCCTGATGTGAAGGCGATGGTGTAGAGAGAAGTGAGTTTCCTGTGCTTTTTCTATGGAAATTACAATGCGGTCTGGATCTCACAGAGGTATGAATTGCACTCACAAAGGTGGCTTGTTCTGGGCGTGCTTTTCCACGGCACTTGAAGCAGACTGGTTTGATATTGTATATGCTGCCAGCCTATGAGGTTTAAACAGTTTTTGATTGTGCTTTTAACTGCAGTGGCTCCATTTCCAGTTAATTGTAGCATGCTAATGTTTTACTTACTGCTGTATATTTGCTGAGTATATAACCCTTTATAATGAAGTGGTTCAAATATTTTCTTTGACTTCTAGGTGAGCCATGACATCATTGCTGATACTGTGTTTGTGCCTCCGGGTAATCTCAGCTACATGGTCTTTTCAGGATTATGTATATACTGGTGAGCAATTTTTTGCATTTTGCTTTGATTTTTATCAGTCGTTGATGTTATTTTAACAAATGCACTTTCTAAAATATAAATAATGTAGAAATATTGTGCTGCATAAATGGATCAGTTTGGTGATGACTGCTACCTTTGTGTTGTGTGCCTGGTGACACAGGTTTTTGGGACATACTGTGTAAAAATTAGAGCTGGATGATTAATTGTTTTCATTCGAAATCAAAATTTGACAAAGTGCAGTTTTCAAATTGCAAGAGCTGTGATTTTATATCCTTAGTTATTCACAATTTTCTTTTGTGGAAAAATTCAAATTCACAAATATAAATGGAAAAGCTTATAAACTGGCAGTCTTGCACACTACGTTGAGTATTCAAATCTTAAACCTGAAAAACAGATATTTGCAAAAAAGACCTGGAGCTTCATTTATAGAAAATAATCACATTTAAAGTGCATTAGGTATTTTCCCCAAATCGTTCAGCCTTGGTGAAAATACTGTAGTAATGTTTTGTAGTATTGTATTAAATTAAGGGTGAGCAAAAAATATAACATCATGGAAGCTAGGCCTGTGCCTGGTGACAATTAATCAAGTTACTATGGTAACAGCCCCTAGTGACTTATTTACCTCGGTTTAAAAAGTCATATATTTATAGATTATTTCATGTAAACCAGAGTGAGACACTTGTATTCCCACACATGATGTGATATTCTACATTAATACCCCATTTATTGTGTCTACCTAAGGTGAGATAACTCGAGAAATGCAGCTGTTGAGCTGCACTGGATGAACACGCTTGAGGGGGGTGGTGGGGCACTGTGTGCTTTTGGAGCAGCAAGATATCATGCCTGTACAAAAAGCTGCCTATGCTTGGTGTACATTTTAGAACATCCTCAGACCACAGCATCAGTTTTCAGACTGACAAAATCGCTTCAGGTTTAGGAAAAACAATTGGACATCATGCAAAACATGTCATAGCAAAACAGATTCATACAGAACAACTTCAGGCTAAGCAGTCACAGACATTACGGCCACTAACAAAACAGCTTCTGGTGGTTCGACTGACATTAGCAATTCCGTTCTTCCTTACAGTTCCTTCTGTTCCTCTTAATTACATTTTCGTGGCCAAATTAAAAATGACAATACACTAAAACACAACTTTTACTAAACTTTACTTTCGTTATATTCTTTTATTTGACATAGAATAAGCTTCAACGCACATGCCATCACTGTGTTTGCCCTTACGTCTACCGCAAAGTTAGGAACTATCTCAAAAATACAGGAAGAAAATGATTTTTTGGCCATAATTTATCACAATAATGATAACACTCCCATTTGTAAAATGAATTACTTTGCTAATAACTGCTGGTTTGATCTATATCCCAGAACCTGAAAGTACCCTCAGTGTCAGCATTCCTACTGAGCAACCTCTCCGTTCCTTAATGGGGGACACGCTGGTCCTACCCTGCTTTTTCCAGGATAACACAGTCCACGACCCTGGAGCTCCCACCATAGCACCTCTCTCTCATCGCATCAAATGGAGCCTCATTACCAAAGAGAAGACCACAGACATTCTGGTGGCCTCTGAGGGCGTGGTGGCAGTCACCGATAAGTATATGGACAGGGTGACCATGGTAGGATACCCCATGACCCCCACTGATGCCTCCATTAAGATCACAGAGCTGCTCTCTAATGACTCAGGAATCTATCGCTGTGAGGTCATGCACGGAATCGAAGACAACCATGATACCATTGATGTCCAGGTGCAAGGTAATTACAATGGCCCAGTATCCCAAAAACATCTTAGTGTTAAGATTATCTTAACTGTTAGCGAGAGTGTCTCTACCATTCAGGAATCATTTCTACTAAGGTGCTTTTGGGAAACCCAGCAAATGTTAGCAGTTTTTAGGGTAGTATTTTGTATTCATTGGTAGTTAACTGAACTGTTTTATGTTAACTGATTGGCCACACAGTGCCATACCTACCAGTAATTACAAAATTCAGGGCTGCAAACTAGATTCAAGATCCAGTTTTAAACACCTCTGTTCTATAAGGAGGTAATGTGGAGCTTGAAGTCTTTTACTGTATTATTCTCTATAAAGGGAGTTTGCATAGCTTATTTGTGTTACTAGCTCATATTAATTCTATGAGTAAAGAATTTGTTTTTCAATCTTGATTCAGGAGGCAGCTATAGTGGATCACACTGACTTACACCTCCTTTATTCTCTGTGAATAGAGTTAGTAGTTAGCCTTTTTGCCGTTACCCACTACAACTGTTAATTAACACAGTCAGTCAAAAGTGCATTTCTGAATGGTGATTCTAACTATTTGATCTTTTTGCCCAGGTATCGTGTTCCATTACCGCGCCATCACCAGCCGTTACACTCTGACGTTTGAGAAGGCAAAGGCAGCTTGTATTCAGAACAGTGCTGTGATCGCCACTCCAGAGCAGCTGCAGGCAGCTTATGATGAGGGCTACCACCAGTGTGATGCAGGCTGGCTCGCTGACCAGACTGTCAGGTCAGTTCAGAGGCCACTATGAATGGTCATTTTAGTGCTCTTCCTCGAGACTCTGCAGGGTAATCCACTGTGGTATTAATTACAATCCCTTTGAAATCAACACAATTCTTGCTTAAAGATTTAAACTGTTGAACGTGTAGAACTTAAATAGTTTATTCATGAGAAACTGTCACATTTGAATCATGTACATTTGTGTAAACCACAATTCAAAAGTGGATGCATTTTTCTTCCTGAGGAATGGTTCAGGAAATAAGAGGGTTTTTTTGAGTAAGTAGTTGTACCTGGAGCCTCATAACCACATCAAGAACTCCCTAAGTCAAGTCAAGCCAATTTAAGTATATTGTTATTTGCATTCAGAAGACAAACAATGAAAATTCAGTTAAATTATCATGGTATAGTAGCATCAGGGTTCCGTTTGTGCCGGAACAAGCCAGATCCAGCACTCCCTAGATTGGATCCAGCACCTCGCTCAGATATTGAATGCATCCATGCAATAATCTGTAGACATGTATCAAGGAAAATCATAATCTTCCGTCATAATCATATTTTTCCACAAACCATTCAATATGTATAAATAGCTAAAGGGTAACATGCTTTGTCACCTTAGGCAATAGGACGCATGCCATGTAATTTCACTTACAGCTCTTGTGTGGATGCATGTGGTAATAGAAATGGTATAAAAACAGCACAAACACTGGTTACCACTCACAAGTGCACCACTACGTCTGATATTTCATCCCTGGTGCTTTATTGAGCTCTGTTGATAACACTGAGCAAAACAAGGTTGTGCCGATACTGAGCAAAAACTGGGTTGTGGCAAAAGGTAACAAACAAATAATCAAAAGTACCTTTATTTGAGAATTTATAATCAATTTATATTTCTGCTTTGCTTTATTTTGCTGAAACTGTAATAATAATATCTTGTTTTATTTTCCAAGGTATCCCATCCACGATCCCCGAGAGGCTTGCTATGGTGACAAGTATGAACTTCCAGGGGTCAGAACGTATGGTGTGAGGGACACAAATGAGACTTATGATGTGTACTGCTTTGCTGAAAAGATGACAGGTACACAACTTTAGTAACTTCTGGAAAATTTTGAAATGTATACATACTGTTCAGACACTAACATCATCCCATGCTCTGTTACAGGAAGGGTGTTCTATTCAATGTCGCCTAAAAAGTTCACGTTTACTGAAGCTAAGGCCCAGTGTGCTAAACTAGGCGCTAAGTTAGCCACCACTGGCCAGCTGTACCTGGCCTGGAAGGCTGGTATGGATGTATGTAACGCAGGCTGGCTGGCAGACCAGAGTGTCCGCTATCCCATCAATATCGCCCGGCCCCAGTGTGGGGGAGGTCTGCTGGGAGTGCGAACTGTGTACCGCTTTCCCAATCAGACAGGCTACCCTCTGCCAGACTCACGCTATGATGCTATCTGTTACACAGGTTCGTACATCCATAGATTCCACTTTAACCCTTCTTATCCACTTGCAACTCTATCAAGATATTTGCCTTTGCTATTCTTTCTGGATTTGGTTGAGTTTCTTTTGGTATAACGAATAAACTTAAACTACAGGCTTTACAGGCTAATGAGTTTTGTCATTATAAGAGTGAGGAATTGAAGTCTGGGCCCACACACAAGACATTAATGTTGACTGTTTCATTCACTGTAGTTAATTTGAACTCTCCCGTGACATACAGTGGCCCCAAAAGGATTTGGACATTTGTGCTATATTGAATTCATTGTTCAAGGAAACAAAATATCAAATCAAGAGGTGTTTGTGTTAAACAGACTGATTGCAAGAGTGTTAATTTCTTTTTGGCAAAGTATTATTTCAAAAGGTGGCTTATCGTTTGAGCAGTTTCTTTGCAGATGTCTGCAGATTTGCATTTAAAATGCTTTTGCTCAATTCTGAGTTTAACATTTTATGAAGTAACCTAAAGAAACTTCTGTAACCTAAAAATATCTTGTCTTTGTGGGGCCAAAGTGCAATGTTTGTGGTGGGCCGAGGGCCAAAATACGGAAGTTTGGAGAGGCCATGAGCTGTTGCTATAATTTTCTGGATTGTTATCTTGAGATAATGAGTTACTTATCTTGTTATTTCAAGATAACACCTTTGTTTTCTCAAGATAACAAGATAATTAACTCGTTATTTCAAGATACCAACTTTGTTGTTTTTTAAACAGCATATATCAATACATTACATATATATCAATACAACAATAAATTACATATATCTTTGATTTTTCAAAGAAGAAACCTAAATTAACCTAACAAATATCCTAAATATGGCATTTTTCTGCACATTTTAGTGCACAAATTCTGTTTTTTGATAGGTTTAACACATTAGAAAATGCATAATGGAAAAATAAAAAAAATAATATTTTTATATTTAATGTTTATTTGTTTCCAACATGTTAAATTCAACAAATAAACAGTAACTGTGCATTGACGTGTACAGAAGTGTGTTTTCTATAGAGGATTTTCACTTCAGCAAAACATGTAATTTGACAAGTGGTGCCCTTTTTCCATATGACTGCACATAATAAAAACATGTTCTCATGTAGAGAGAGAGAATGATGATGGTAGTAGCTCTAGACCTCTAGAAGCTAAATGCTGACAGTGCAATTCTCTGAGGCTGTTTTACTAACAAACATGGTCTGTTTCATTTAGAAGAAGATGAAGAAGGTTCAGCCCTACCTGACATATACCCAGATATACAGACGACCACAGAGGCAGGAAGTGGCACGCTAAGCGTGGGCATAGTGACAGACCGCCCCCAGGAATTTGTCAAGCACACCTCCACTGAGAGTGAGCTGCTAGGCAAGGTTGTGACCCACAAACCTCTCACCACCACTGCTGATTTCACGTACGTAGAGCAGAACGTCACCCAGCTGCCCCTGTTGCCACCACCCAGCGCCACAGAGGACAGTACTGACCTCATAGAGGGAGTGACCGCTCGACCTGACCTTGAATTGGAAATTCGCCATGAAAATATAACTGATGCTCTGATGTCTCCTACTGGTAAGTGATGTGTCGTAAAATGCTGTGCAGACACATACATTACAAGAGAATGTTTACATTAGTGTAGAGCTGCATGGTAATAACTAATATGATTGCTCATAATTAATAATAATAATAATAGTAATAATAATCTTTATTTATATAGCACCTTTTATAGATTAAATATGTAGATCAAAGTGCTTCACAACACAAAGTAAAAACAACAGAGTCAGAAGAGAGCAAAGATAATCAAAAATAAGATAAACAAAAAATAAAAATGCAACAAATATAAGTATTAGCAAAAAAGGGGTATATTAATGATTAAAATTAAAATGCACAAGATAAAAGTATAAATAAAAATACAATAAAAATACAATTTAGTAAAAGTAAAGAAATATGTTTTTAACTGTTTTTTAAAAACAGTGAAGTCAAGGAAAAAAACAAAAAAAAATTATAAATAAATTTAAAAAATAAACAAAAAAAACAAAAGCATGGATCAATGCCAAACCTTGTGCTGTATTCCTTAAATGATAAAAAAGCAGTTTTGGTAATATTATTAATATGTGGTTTAGAAGTTAAATCAGTGTCTAGAGTTACACCAGGATTCCTAACTTGAGTTTTTATTTATAGAGCCAGATTTCCAAGTCCATTCATCACAGTTATTCAGTTAATTCAGGAACAAGGTAGTTGTCCTTTAACATTTGAAAGCAACGTAAAACATGTTATAGTAACATGTACAGATGTTAAAGCACATTACAAGAGTTAAATAAGAGTTAAATCACATTCATTGAGTGTGATCTTTTAAATGCTAAATATAAACAAAATAAATTAATGAGTGATTTCACATCTGGGGTGCCATTTAGCCTTTTAGTTTCAAAGTGACATTGTCAGTCAACATTACAGTACCATAGAAGATAAAGATAAAACATTGAAAGAACATACATTTGCTCTTCCTATGATCTTCAGAAAAATTGTGATAATGTTGTTTTCTGTTGTACCTGTGTACATGGAATTCCACACATTCCGTAGTGGAGAACATGTTCAGGTAACAGTGTTGACTGAATGTTGGGAAACACAATTAGAATTATTTTCCATACCGTATAATTAATGACTCATGAAAAGTAGATGATAAAAGTATTAGATGTTAAATGGATTCACATATCAATGCAAAAAATAACAAGATTCCTAAGGCATTTAATGGTTATATTTCAAGATAAAGTGTAGTTGTAGTGTGCATAATTTATCTGAATTATGCTCATCAGTTGTAAATGTAATATCATTAATAATATGATGTAATACCATATTTATGGAATCATGCATATATGACAAAATAATATCCGCAAATTTGCCTACTTAAAAAATTGGCGATTCATTTACTCAGCATGATATAATTTAATACCTCAGAGTCATTTAGCCGGTTATTTTAGCCGGTTAGTAATTGAGGAAGCCAAAAATTTTGATCCCAACTAGAATGTAATTAATTGTGCAGCCTTACATTATTGATATTTTCGTATAGGCCTAGTATTGCTTTATTTCCAATGCATTCATGTGACAATTTCAAGACACTGTCCTACATGACTCAATGTTCTTTCTTTTCTAATCCTCCTAGGTGTTGTGTTCCACTACAGAATAGGCTCCAGGCGCTATTCACTCACCTTTGTTGAGGCTCAGTTGGCTTGCCAGAATATCGGCGCAGTGATTGCCAGTCCCCGGCAGCTACATGCCGCCTATGAAGCTGGCTACCACCAGTGTGATGCAGGCTGGCTGCTTGACCAGACTGTCAGGTGACATTTCTGTAGTTAGCTGACTTTTATGCTTCCTGAACGTCTTTTGTCAATTATGTGCATAATAAAGAAGCAACACAGTCAGAATGATAAAGAAGCAGGCAAGACAGAGAACAGCTGCGTTAGATATAATATCCTGTATATATATATATACAGTTGTTTGCTGCCCTTGATTAAATTATATGTTTTGTAAAAAAAAGCGAAAACACACCTAACAAATAAATCGAATTCGTACGTGAAATATTTGAAGAAAAATGCCATTTTTTTCTCAAAATGTCAAAATGAAGGTACCCTATTGTGTCCCCACGTGAGAAATGTTCTGGTGATTTGGAGCACTTGCCCGGTGTGAGGTCTTATGGACTACGGCCTGCCAGTGAGCGCTATGATGTGTACTGCTACATGGACAAACCGAGAGGTACATTGGCTGCAATTCTTGAATGTATTTAAGATGTATTCAGCTTTGGCTGAAGGAAATTGCTCCCTTTATACAGTTAAATTATTTACCGTTTATTGAACTTACATTCGTCTTGATGCACAGCTATATGAAAACAAACTTAAAAGTATCTTGTTATCATTTTGCATGAAGTGCTTCTTTTTACTTCAAACATAAAAGACTAAGCAAAATAAACACCCACGCTTATCGCTTTTTTCCAGGAGACGTTTTCCATGCAAGTTCATTCGAGGGATTCACATACGATGAAGCAGTGGCTTACTGCCAGGGTCAGAACGCTTCTTTGGCCTCCACAGCCGATCTGCATGCAGCCTGGAAGCAGGGCTTTGATAAGTGCCGTGCTGGCTGGCTCATCGACCGCAGCGTTCGCTACCCCATTAATAACCCCCGGCCCGAGTGCGGAGGAGGAAAATCTGGCATCCACACAGTCTATGCCTTCCCCAACCAGATAGGCTATCCTGATGTGCACTCCAAATTTGATGCTTATTGCGTTAAAGGTATAAATACTGGCACAAACTGCTGTGCACATCACTTTACTGGTGGATCATAAAAATCTGAACAAAGCTTACATCCAAGTAAATGGCTATTGAATATCTGAATATTTTGCAGTTGATCTCCACTTGTATCTCAATGAGACTGTGATGAATGTGACAGTGATAGAAGAGGAGATAGTAAACCTGACCATCATACCTGGCCTTCATAGTCAAGGTAATGTATTTGATAACATATCTTAAACTTTAAATGTGTTCTCTTGTCAGCAGTAAACCATGGCCTCAATCCCCAACCACCCTTGTCCCATTTTTTTTTGTTAAAAAGTGATAAAACATCAAAATTGAACAAAAATAGTTCAGTCTGTTCTATTGTTATTGTCAATAAAATGTTTTGACAGTTTGTCTTTGAATGTGCCTCAGCCAATCAATGGAACTATCCATTTTGTAATTTCTTTGCCATAATTAATGCCCATTTTACTAAATCTGCCTCTTTTTGTTTCCACAGTGAGCCCCTCCATTGCTCCCCCTATCCCCATGGAGCCCTCTGGTTCTGGCTCTGCAGGCCTAACAAGTGGATTCTCTGGTGATGCATTGGCTAGCGGTAGTGGGGAACAACCTAGTGGAAGTGGAGAGCAGCCTAGTGGAAGCGGGGAGCAGCCTAGTGGAAGTGGAGAGCAACCTAGTGGAACCGGGGAGCAGCCTAGTGGAAGTGGAGAGCAGCCTAGTGAAACTGGGGAGCAGCTTAGTGGAAGTGGAGAGCAGCCTAGTGGCAGTGGAGAGCAGCCTAGTGGAACTGGGGAGCAGCTTAGTGGAAGTGGAGAGCAACCTAGTGGAAGTGGGGAGCAGCTTAGTGGAAGTGGAGAGCAACCTAGTGGAACCGGGGAGCAGCCTAGTGGAAATGGAGAGCAGCCTAGTGGAAGTGGAGAGCAGCCTAGTGGCAGTGGAGAGCAGCCTAGTGGAAGCAGGGAGCAGCCTAGTGGAAGTGGGGAGCCCCCTAGTGGGGTGTCAGGCATAGGAGAAGACCTTTCAGGATCTGGGCTCAGTGGAGACGTTGGCTCAGGCCGAAGCGGTGATGGCTCAGATATATTTGTGATCTTCTCAGGAAGTGATTCCATCCTGTCTGGGGATGGATCAGCTTCAGGGACACCTCAGGAAGCTGAAGAAGGCAGCACAGACATCCTCACTTTCATCCCAGGCCTGGGATCGGGCTTCTTCAGTGGGGAATGGTCAGGATCAGGAAGCGGTTTGGGTCTCGGCTCAGAGGAGAGTGGTTCTACATCAGACCAGTTCAGCAGTTCAGGAGAGAGCGACGAGAGTGGAGGACTTTCCGGCATCTCTTCAGGACTGGGCTCCAGTGAGGAGTTCTCCGGATTCAGTGGCTTTCCATCGGGCTTGCTTCCTTCTGGGGACTACAGTGGTTTCTCTGGGCTCACCAGCAGCAGCAATGGAATTATCATGATGAATGGGCGAGTGGTTGGAAAGGTCCACTCCCCTGAACCTTACAGCTCAGGAGCTGGGTGGAGCACAGGTGGATTTCAGTGGGTCTGGAGATCATTCAGGGTATGTAGATTTATCGGGGTCTGGAGTAAGTGGCACTTTTACTGCGATCAGTGGTGACATCAGTGGTGACCTCAGTGGTGACCTCAGTGGCTCTGGGAGTGGCTCTGGATTTCCTGGAGTCACCTTGTTGGGATCAGGTTTCACAGACCTCACAGGCCAGCCCAGTGGAGAACAAGAGGCTTCTGGGATTTTGGTGTATGGATCAGGAGAGGGGAGCGGATTTGTTTCTGGGACCTCTGGAGACACATCGGGAGCATCAGCCAGTGGGGATGTACCATTATTATTTACTAATGCTAGCTTGGTAGATGCTTCTGTCAAACTTACCCAAAGCCAGGAGGCTGACAAAGGCCCCATAGAGGTCAGTGGAAGTGGGAGCGGGAGTGGACTATCTTCAGGCAGTGGAGACCACCACACTGCAATTGATACTAGAATCCACCATGCTTCAGCCAGTGGAGAACGATCAGAGGTTCTTTCAAATGATATTCCAACAGGCCTACAGCTAGCTCCATCAGGACTGCTTAGTGACACTGCAGGACCACTGGAGGGTCTATCAGAACCTAGTGAAATTATCTGGAAATCTCATTCCACAACGCCTGCACCTGTAGCTGCTACCACTACTGAACCTTCGTTCCCTCTACAAACCCCGGCTGTCATTGAGATGCCTGCCATGGAGAATGGTGAGTAGTGGCATAGCAAGAATTTCATTTTAGGAGGCCCTTTTTACAGCTTGGTAAGGCAGCTAGGACGCATCATGTCCCATAGACATTGCTATAGTGAGATTGACAACCAACAACTAGTCAACTAGCTGATTTCATTCTAGCTTCTATAACCAGAAAAAATACATTTTAAATGCAACACCTGATTGCATTTAACTGCCTAGTTACCATAACCACAGTGATTAAGGGCACAAGACATATATGTCTGTAGGGAATGGTTCAATTTTCTTGTTGTTTTCATACATTGTTCCATGCAGTATTGCGGAGTTGGTTTAAAAACACATACATCACATAGCTGCTACCGAAAATGGTGATGAAAAAAGAACTTTGGATGTCAGTTTTATTTGTTTAAGGTGGAAATAAAGACAGAGATGCAAAACTCTGCGCCTTTACATTCATCCTACATTATAAGAGTGCAAAAGGAATAACGTTTTGTATTAGCATTGAAAGACCATTTTTTCTTTAGAGCATTCAGAATCTGATTAGGGGTGGGGATCTTTTAATTGAGAGAGTGTAGGCCCCGCCAGGTCCCTCCGTAGCTACACTACTGATAGTCAGTTCAAGTTAGCAATGCTGATGTGAGTGATTAATGCTTAGACAAGAAGTTCCCGTCCATTTATGCTGATTCATCTATTTCAAAAGTTTTAGTTCCTCCTGTCTGTATCTGTTTCTTAGTTGCTGTGGACCCATGTAACCCAAACCCCTGTGGTCCTGGCTCATGTTCTGTACAGGATGGGGTCGGCTTGTGTCACTGCCCACCTGGACTGATGGGCAACGAGTGTCAGTTTGGTGAGTAAATTATACTGACTTTGTATAATAACCAAATTTCTTAACCCTTTCAAGTGGTTTGCTAATGTGAAAAGATGATGAGATGTCCTATTCCATGCTTGGCACGTTTGTGCTCTGGTCATTGTGTCTTCTCTAACCAGTAGAACTGCAAACATACTTTTCTCACATATTTTGAAATGATATTGACTTTTTGTTTGTGTTTCCTGTAATGAATTGAACACATTTCTCTCTGTCTGTCATTGTTCTCTCTCATTGTGTGTTTTGTCGTTTGATCTGATTGTCATCCTCACAGAAACGTCCACTTTGCAGGTTGTTTGGCATGTGTGTGTATGGTTATCTGATTCTGACATTTACAGGACCCCACAATTAGTTCATTTCATTGCCCCCATGTGTTGTTTTTGTTCAGCACTGCTTTTGCTGTAGTATGACCTAGGAATGGTCATATTTATACACTTTTCCACTTACCCCAGAGTTAGTCTACTACCAGATTGTTTGGCTTCAAAATGTAGCTTATTAGTTTAGTGATAGAGCTACAAGGCTAACGTTGCCAGCAAACATTAAAGGTTAATAGCCACCCAAATCTTTTGTATAAATGCATCCCAAAAACTTATATTAGCCTACTCAGACCACACCCAGGTCTTTGTTGAGGTCACACAGACTTGTCAGTATGGTTTAGGACACAGCATGACTGTGAATTATAAACTTCACCAGATATCTGAATGCTTCGGTCAGATGTTTTGGACAGCAGTGATGTTTCAACTCCCATATGGTCACCACAGATTATGTTTGTGATTTCTGTTATTTCTACTTATAAATAAATGTTTATATTGAATGTTCAAATTAAAGATATACAGTCAGTTAAGCTGCTCTCTAAACCTCATTGACAAGTTTGCGCCACCTCAATGGAGCAGGTTGAGAGAAGTTTTGGGGATGTATTTATGGAAAAGATTGAGGTGATTGTTGACTTCTAGTGTTTGTTGCCAAAGTTAACCTCATAGCTCCAGAACTAAAATACAGAAGCAAAACCTAGACACCAAACATGCCTTGACTGATCAACTACATCTGGGTTAAGCTGTATAAATTGGATTTCCTGCCATTTCTTTAATTAGAACTTATTTTCCAGCCTGTTGCATGGCTACTAACATCTGCTACTTGCCCTTACTTCTGCCTTTCCTTGATTTGAATCTGACCCTTGAACTGATGCAACTCTTTGTGATCCATATATTCAGGTCTTTCATTTTGAACCGCCATGGAAATATTTGGAATATTTGGTTCCTCTTAATCCGTTAGTGGGTTCAATCAGCATGTTGCATTGGTTCATGATTTCCATAGATCATACTTTCTTATGATTTATGATTGCTAAGCATGACCCACCTCAAGGGCCTCTTTGCAGCCGTCAGTCTTAACCGCCAGAACCTTTATTTGCAGAGGTTGATGTGTGCCATTCAAACCCTTGCGCCAATGGAGCCACGTGTGTGGAGGTAGAGGACGCTTTCAAATGCTTATGCCTGCCCAGCTATGGAGGGGATCGCTGTGAGATCGGTACGAGGTCCGCTTCAGCTAATTCTACTAACAATCTCTCAAAAACAACCAAACCAATGCCATGAAATGCAGCCTTGCATGTCCACAGCAACGGCTGATCTTTTGGAGGCATTGGTGTTTTGGAACATGATGCTTATGAAAGTCTATTTAACTAGCCAGTCATGTTTTAGAGACGATGAGTGGCTGGAGGAAGGATGTGGTAGAGGAGAAAGTGCAGTAAAGGAACAAGTAATTCCATTACAGGTCAGAATGAGAAGGCACTGAACACAGCCCTGCCCCTCAGACAGGTAGGGACATAGTCTCAGTACTGTGTACTGTGGCTGTTCTGTTCATGATTTCCATGTAAGCAAAATCTACAAATAGCAACAGGCCTTTTTGGTCCTCCTCGTGTTCCTTGAGGTGTTTGTTCTCGACGTCATGCAGAGGTGAATTGTAAGCTAACTTTGTGCTGAGGTTGTGAGCTGAGGGGAAAAAAACTTGTTTACTGAGCGTGTATTCATAGATTCCTCATCTACTGCGTACATGACTGCAAACAGAGGGGTCTAATTCTGGTTTTGGAGGGCCGAAGTCCAACACAATTTGGTCTTGTCCCTGCTGAAACATACCTACCAAATCTGGGAACTAGCTGCTGAGTTGAATCAAGTATGTTTGAACAGAAAAATAATCAGTCCTTGCTTAATTAAAGCAGAATTCATCAGACACAGCACTGCTGCTGGAGTTTTTAAACACTGTGTCCACTCATTGTCCACTCTTTTAGACACTCCTACCTTGTCAGTCCACCTTGTAGACGTAAAGTCAAAAACAATAGCTCATCTGCTGCTGCACAGTTTGTGTTGGTCATCCTATAGTCCTTCATCAGTGGTCACAAGATGCTGCCCACAGGACGCTGTTGGCTGGATATTTTTGGTTGGTGGACTATTCTCAGTCCAGCAGTGACACTGAGGTGTTTAAAAACTCCAGCAGCACTGCTGTGTCTGATCCACTCGTACCAGCACAACACACACTAACACACCACTTTTGGTTGGTAAATAAAATCATGATATTTGTGTTGTAGACATCATGACCCCTGGTTCCTGTCACCTATCACCAAATCTTAGTCATTAAGCTTCTCTACAGTGCACCACTGTAGAGAATGACTTTCTTGACATCTCAGTAATTACATTATACAAAAATTGAAGAAAAATAACATTGGAATTAACTTTAAGGCTCTCTATCACTGGAGGGGAATGCTCTTGTTTTGACACTTTGACTTTCTCTACAAAACTGTTATGCAATTATCCTTGTCTTTTTCCACTGAACTGTGTGAAATATAACTGGTTTGTACTAAATATTGGACCTCAGTTTTGCCATAACAGGTTCTGTGGTAAGAGTCTGGAATAAAGTGTGACTCCCACCCTATCATGTGTCGCTGCAGATGTAGAAAAGTGTGAGGAGGGCTGGACTAAATTTCAGGGTAACTGTTACTTGCACTTCTTGGAGAGGGAGACCTGGGAGGATGCGGAGCAGCACTGCAGAAGCCTTGGAGCTCACCTAGTCAGCATCACCAATCGAGAAGAACAGTTTTTTGTCAACTGTGAGTGACGTCCATAGCCGTGTCTGTGTGGTCAGTGCATGTTTGTATGATTTTCGTTTGCAGGTCTGCACAATATGATTGAAGCACAAGTATTGTGATTGTTTTGACATAGATTGCACTTGCATGCTTTGTATATTACAAATGCAATGGAGAATCCATAATGTTAGGTTGTCACAATGAAGAACAAATGACCTCATTTATTTTGTTCTATATATTTTTATCAAAGCAGAAACAGAACTACTCATATGGAACTGTGGTTGGTCAAAATTGCTTCCAACAAAATAAAACATTTTGAAAAATTTTTTTGATTGGTTAAAGTGATCATTTGCATAATGCACAGTATCAGCATTGCAAAGACTTATGCACTATGACAATATTTATTTCATTTATGTTATAAATTGTCAATCGTCAGTACTCAGTGAACGTCAGTGAACTCAACCGCATGTTTCATTACAAAGAGAGTGTAATTAGTCCTGTTTATATGTTTTAAGGTAGCACAGTATATAAAACGCTGAATAAAAATCATTGTATTCATAGTTTTTTTATAGTACTGTTAAAATGTGGCGCTACTAGGGCTCTTTTGTCTGTTTATTGAATCTCAGAAAAATGGAACACCGTGATGCATGTTTATTGTCTTCAAATATTGTGAATTTATATTTATTATATTTATTATATGTGATATTATATTTTTACTGTATCACCCACCCCTACCCCTATGTGGATTTATGTGTTTCTTATTACTGTCTTTTGTCTCTCCATTATAGCCCATGCTCAGGACTACCAGTGGATTGGACTAAATGATAAGACATTTGAGAATGACTTCCAGTGGTCAGATGGAACCCCGGTGGTAAGTGTGTTCAGCCGCCCCCTCAGTTCACCCCGCTGAGAGACTTTGATGCTATAAACAGCCTGGTTTGGCTGAGATATAATGCTTGACTGTTCAAACTTTCCTTCTCAGCAATATGAGAACTGGAGGCCTAATCAGCCAGATAATTATTTCAACTCTGGTGAAAACTGCGTGGTCATGATCTGGCATGAAAATGGCCAATGGAATGATGTCCCTTGCAACTACCATCTTCCATTTACATGTAAAACTGGCCCAGGTAAGGAATAGATATAAATACTTAAATAAAATGTTGATTTACACTTTGAAATTTACTTTTTGTGATTACATTCAGTTCTGCTCATTCCTTGTCTGATTTACTGTTGCTCACACATCTCACAACTTTTAATAGAAGATAATGCAACAATATTTTATTTCAAGTAATTTTGTACTATTTTTGGCCCATTCATCATGATTTTTTATACAATGTAAAGAGCATTCTGTAATTCTGTAATCAAAAAAAGAAAAAAAAACTTGGAGATACAAATTTTTTTCTTGACATCAACAGTTTACAGAAACATTAGCTATTTGGTTTCCTTTTGATTTAAGTTTGAAAAGAAATCACACAGCTCGTGCTCAAGTAGCCACCCCAAAGCAGCTGTAGTTTTACAAAAGTTGCCCCCAACTTCATGATACATTATCAGAAAGGGGTTTTCACTGTCTTTAAACTGTAAAATCTTACTCTAGAGATTATTGTGGCACTGCTATAGGATGCAAGTAGATATGTTTATAACAGATATAAAAGTGGTTCAGGTTTTTTATTTTGTGTCTCTTTAAAGTTTTTTGGACTGATTCTTTTTCCCTTAAGTTGTTTTTGCTAGGCTACTTTTTACCAACACTTGAGTCACTATTTCACAGAAGTAACAATCTTCTTACTTGAGTATAGATACTGTACCCATCTCTGAATATGAGCCCTTAGTTGAATCTAGTTTATTCTGTTGTTTTTGAGTAACAAATCTAGTTTCTCTTTAGTCACATGCGGCCAGCCTCCTGAAGTGAAGAATGCCAGGATGTTCGGGAATAAGAAGGAGCGCTATCAGGTCAACTCTGTGATCAGATATCAGTGCAATGAAGGTTTCCGTCAGCGCCACCTGCCTGTGGTCCGCTGCATGGCAGATGGACACTGGCAGAAGCCACAAGTGGAATGTATAGCCCGTAAGTGATTTGCATTTCACCTATACATATATAGTTGTATGCAAAAGTTTGTTTTTGCATTTGAAAATTTGCGTTAGTGTTAAAAATTGTGCTTTAAAATTAGTGGAAACTTGCCATATTTCAGTTTGTTCCATGTAGAGGATGTGTTATAATATTTTCACTTAGAATATAAGACCAAATATCATATGAACTGTATGCATATGATACTGCAGGTCATACAGAATGGTCAAGCATTAACCATGTTTTAGCCACCTAGCAGCTAAACAAATATATTTTTATTTTACTAACCATTAAATGTTCCCATATTTTTATAAAATATATGAATATATTAATCTTATTTTTTTAATCACAGAAATCAAACGTGGACTACTAAAGAGATTCATCCAGCGTCAGTCTGCCAGAAGAACGTCATTGGAAAAGCACCTCTCATGAGCTAAGACGAGATAGTTAAGAGATTTTTTAAAGAAGCTATTTTCTGAGGCCCTGAATTAAGATTAAGTTTTGTATTAGAAATTCTCCCCATCCTGTACATACTGTCACCACCCACATTATAATATACTGGTTTGAGCATCACTCATTAACAGTACAGTCATCTGTTTTGTTATTATTATTTTTTTCACCTCACCTAACAGTTCACTTTATTTATGAAAGTAGTACTATTTCCATAGTTAGTGTAATTGGATCGCCATGCTTGCATCTGAACAAGTCACAAGATTTCAGAGACTTGGCCTTGTAGGTTCATTCCAGACCTTTTCAGGCATTCTTCAGTGTGTCTCCAAATATCTGTTTAGTTTTACAAAACCTTCCAGAGACGGATCTTTCATCCAGACTGTCTGGAATTTTGTGGTGAAACAGAAAAGCTAAGAACTTGATGCGGCCCGAGCGAGTGCAGTCCTCCGTCTGAGAGGGACACTGGAGTGAGTTTCTTGTTTTCTTCCTTGAACACCATAATATCGTAGCAAGTTGCAAAGATTTTACAGCACTTACAGTATACAGGCTAGTATATGAACAACAAAACAACATTTTGAAGTATTATTTTCATCTGTAGTCTATTAGGATGGATAGCAAATTCAGACATATTCATAGCCATAATGGAGAAGAGGTTTACACACAGCTAATTTATTTTTACGTAACCATACAAATTATGAAAGATCATAAAAATATTGCTTTTTCTGGTAGTTCTGATAGACATTATAATGTGAAATTAGATATATTTATTGATTTCTCAAAATTATCTAGCAGTTTTTCCATCTGTTTAGGGCCAGCATATTCAGACATGAAAAGCTTACAAAATATATTGCACTTTATATATAAAGATTACAAAGTAATGCACTGAATTTAATTGATTCAAATATGAACATAATTAACACATGAATAAAATATATTACATGAACACTAGAGATGGCAAGATACCATTTTTTCTTTTCCAGTTTTGAAACCTTCAGTATCTACCAATACTGATCTGATATTCTTAAATTCTCAATATTATTATTATTATTAAGCTACTCAAGCACTCAGGCATGTGCTTGAGCCCATACACTTATAATAATAATAATAATAATACCTTCCTGGTTGGCATACATAATGATTATATAATATATAGCTTCACCCCCGGGTTGGCTCGTTTCACGAGATTCAGGGCTCTTGTGCACCCCCTCTAGTGCGGTGCCGACTACCTATGGATTTTGTCTCAGTCAGCTCCAACCTGTCATAGATACATGCATGTTAAAAGGCCCATATTCATTACACATTAATCTGTTTTATTTTTCCCTGAGGTCCACTTATAACATTTATCATTCATTTTTACATGACCAAACCTTTCTATACTCCTTGTATTAAACAGGCTATATATTTTTTTTACTGTGCTTTAATTGATATATGTAAATGAGTTGTGTTCTGATTGGCTGCCCTGTAAATTCATAAATATTCAAAAAGCAATCTGAGTTGAAAATTTTAATGGAAGTTAAAAGAGAAATAATTTATTCCAAGTAATTTTGGGCCGTTTCTATTGGTCCATTCATCATGAAATTTTGAAATATAAAGGGCAGCTGGCAATTTCAAATTATGTCAAAAAACTGAGAAATTCTTAGTTTCTATATATGGACTGTATGGAATGTTTTGAAATTTTAATAGTGTTTACAGTTCACATCAAACTCTTTGATTTAAAGCAAGTGAGGAAAATTCAGTTTTCCATGAGACCACGTGCTTATACCAAATAGTGAAAACACAGATTTCCTGAAAATTGGAGATTCTGGTTTGATGCCCTGCTCCAGCAAGAACGCTCTCACATCACAATTAAACAGTATTATTTTGGGCTTTAATCTAGACTCTTCATACTATATTTGCCTTTGATTGAAAAACCAATTAGAATATCATCAGGAAACAAAAAACATGCTGTATGCTGTAAATGAAGTTCAATTCCATTCACATCCACACAGAAAGAATTATACAACTGGAAACATCTCACCACATAGCGTGAGCGACTGCTATTTCAGAACAGATTTGTTACAGGATTGGATCAAATTTAAACTTTTTTTGGATCAGATTCGATCTGATTCAACATTTTCTACTGATTTCTGTCTGTGCCATCTCTAATCAAGACATTGCCAAAAGTTGAGTAAACTCAAACACAAATTTGTGTTGGTGTAATATATATTATTTACATGAAAATGATGTACACAAGTGAATCATGTAAATTCAGTGCATTACTTTGTTCAGTGTACTTCTGGCAAAAGCTGGTTTTGACATACAGTTCTAGGAAACCCTTTAATAGGTATAGAACCTGTACATTGTCTGGAGGTTATTAAAGCTTTTCACTTTCACACATCTCTATTAAAAGAATGGCCAGCTAAGGAACCATCCACTGAAGGACCCAAAAGTGGTTTTTCAACAGTGAATCATTATCTTTAGTATCGATGCCAGATCATGTCGAACTCTCATCACAAATACAACCTTAAAATCATTTGTGCAGTTTATTTTCATGTTTTGCCTCACCGCGAGCTGTGCAGGGCACAGTACTGCGAGACCAGCATGACGCTGGACTAGCTTACTGCTATTACTGTCATTCTCCATTCTTGCAGAAGACCTCAGAGATGTCTTGTTTTTTTCCCATGATGTTTTTCAGTTACTATCGGTTATGACAAGTGCCTTATGAATGTTTTTTCTTGTGAAGCCTTTAGGTCCACTCTAGTATCAGTGAGAGGCTGTGCCTCTCTTCCCCAGCATTAGGGGAACTTTTGTAAAGTGTAATCTTGTTTTCATCATTTATGTTGTCATCAATGAACTGATAAAACAGTAGAAGATGATACCCTGAAGTTGATTAGGAACTATTAGGATCTCTCATGCAAGCACAGAAACTGATTGTTCTTTGGAAAAGGGGGTTAATCAGTTCACCTTCACACTGGTTATGACTTTTTCAGTGAAGGACACAAAGCCATTCAAGGAGCAGATGCGTTGAAGTGAGACAGAGGTTGCCATGAGAACAGTTGTCTTTTGAGATAATGTCAATGTAGTCACAGATGACATCACACAGCTTGTTTTTGGTGGAATAAATGTATTACCGAAAAGGAAAAACATGACAAATTGCCAAATAAAACATTCCATACATCACTTTTAATCCAATGCAGCGATTCATTGTGTGTTCTTGATAAAGTACAGACCAGCAGTCGAGAGCAAAAGTCTGCTTTCAGTACTTTTACTCAGAGACGTTATTCACCGTTCACAGGTAATGGAAAGTGTTCTCACCTTGTCCAACCCAGTCTGGAAATGCATGTGGGGTCGGCGAAAAGCAAACAAGTTTTCTTTCAGTAACAAGACTGTAAAATTACAGGAGTTACAGTTTGTTCAGTGGGGTGGAGTGCAGGTACTCAGCTGGCCTTTGACTGAATGGAGCCTTTTAGGGCTCTTCTGATGCACAGAGCTTTTTCTCCTCTCTGGCCCTGAGCTCCTCCATGTCCACTGAGGACACTCATCAGTTGAGACCCCTACTGGCAGGATCATAGCATGGCATCTGTTTCCAGAACTTTTGAGGTGCAAATCTAAAATGCTTTTCCCCATATTTATCCTACAAAGCTTCTGTTGTAACTGTATTCCTTATGGTGTAAGAGACAAATAGCTGAGCCAAGATCAGCTCACTCTGCAAATAAGGGCCCAAATATGTATCCTGAGTACAGCATGTAAATGATTTACATTACAGAAATTAGGACTGTCACTATTGACTAGCCATTATTTGTGATGATTAACTGAGCAATCAAAAGGTAAAAAAGGGTCAAACAAGCTACTTAAAGTGGACTTAAGTGAACAATAACAAACCAAATCTGAATTTGTAATAAGTAGGAGACTTTAAAAATAAAAATACTATGTGGCTGAATATGCAGATAAGTGGGCGCGTCCATCAGGCTATCTACTACTGTAAAAGAGAGCAGTAGCAGAATTTAAAATATGCAATATTATTTATCTTGTTCACTCAATGAAGTGAAAATTAAGTAAACAAGATCAATTTTAATGAATCGATCCTGACAGCCTTATTATAAATAAATGATTTACAGTACAGTCAACACATGTAGATAAAAACAGGGATTATGTAATCTTTTTAACATACAGTATTATCCAAAAGTTTAAACTCCTCTGCCAAAATTACGTTTTGTTTATTTTCTAATTTTCAATTTCTATTTTTGCTGAATTCATATAAATATTTAAAAAAAAAATATTTAAATGTGCCATAACGTCTGCACAGTCCACATTTTATGTTTTATTTTTTTCCCAATAGGTTAAATTCAGCAAATAAACAGTACTTGTGCATTAAAATGTGCAGAAATGTCTTCTCTGTAGAGGACATGTGAACAAAATGTTTAATTTGGGCACCCAAACCTTTGCACACGACTGTACCTATATACATAGCTATTACAAAAGTATGATCATTACTTGCATTAAAATAAAGCCACCACCTGTGTAAGCACATGTTCCTGTCTCAGGACTGTCAGGACTGTCAACCTAGAAAGCTAATTCATAGAAATTTAACAAAGTACTTAATGATAACATATATATGCTCCTGATTATTTTATAAGCAGTCTTCCAGTTGAGAAAGTGCTTTGGGGTTTGGAAGCTCTACCAAGAATGATGATGAGCAAACCAGCAACCCTATAAACCAGAGCTTACCAGAAAGAAGAGGTGTATGTAGTAATTATGTATTGTAACTGGAACTGGAAATATTTAGAACATATTTTTTAATTGTACATATTTTGGCCAGTTTATGGGAACAAAACTACAAATGTTTCAGCTCTTGCCCTCTTCAATGTGACACAAAATCTGGATGGCAGATATTTATTATTTAATGTGTGTGAACTACAAAAGCATAGTGACCATATTTTGTTTTCATAATAACTTACCACCTATATACTTTCACCTACATAGTATCACCCCTGCAGTCTTTTAGATCGTTATGGAAATCTGAGCATGAATCTCCAAAAGAAGTGAACAATCTGTAAATGTTTAAGCCATACTGGAAGTTTTCCATTCATGTCTACAGCTCCCAGCTTGTATGAGGTGAGTTCAGACATATACCTTGGATTGAAGACATTTTCATTCACATTCAACAGGCAAAGGCAGATTCTCAGTACACTTCAATTAGCTTTTACCTAGAGCTATAGCAGTACACTCCATGCTTGTGGTGTGGGGAGGGGAAGCCAAAGCTGCGGACCCCCGGCTCATTTGGGCCACAGTTTGGGCGAGGGTTAGTTATGGGGTAGCGCAGGCTCCCATCAGCCAGCCAGCCAGCATCACAGCGATCCAGCCCCAGGAACTTCCATGCTGCAAACAGCTGACCCACCTTGGCTATGTGTGCACCATCCTCAACACAAGCCTGGACAGCCTCAGTGAAGTTCAGCCTCTGAGGATGCTGGAGGTAGTAGACTCTGCCTGGAAGAGGATACAAAGTTAACAATTATAGGTAATTTTAAAATCATCATTGACTGGTTTCCAGACCGCTACACTCTTAAAAAGATGGTTCTTCTAGGGTTCTTTAGTAAAGAAAATGGTTTTATAAAGAACCATGAACACTCAAAGAGCCCTTTGTATGATTAAAGGACCCTTTAATCATGCACAGGGTTCTCTGAGTGTTCGTGGTTCTGTATAGAACCATTTTCTTTACTAAAGAACCTTTAAAGAACCATTTTTAAGAAGGTAGTTTTAGACTGAATATGATTTTTATTAGTGATGTACCATATGCACTGCAATTTAGTCCAACACTAGGTTTAGTCGATCCACAAGAATCCACACCATGCATGCTTAAATGCATTCAATGCATCACTTAACACAAATTAGTATTAGTCTGTGTGCCTTAAGATGTCTTGCACTTCAGTGAAATGCTTGTCACTTGAAGCTAACTGAAATAATAAAACATTTCTGTTTTATGCAAAGAAACAATATTTTATTATGATTTAAAGGGCCCATATCATGGAAAATCAAATTTCCTTTGCCTTTTTTAAAAACAGGAGTTTGAAGTCATTTGTAAACGTACTTAAAGTTTCAAAATGTACCGTTCACTACCCAGTCCACACAGTCCGTAAATAGACACTAAGCTGCAAAACCCTGTTTTCATTCATTGTGTCTGTGATATCACGAGAACCAGCTCATTTACATATATCACCCTTTTCAGCCTATAGCCGTTTAGCCCACCCATTCATAATGAAGTTGTAAGGAGTGTTTCAGCTCTGTGTGTTTTTTGAATAAGGCACAATAAAGGACAGCCAATCATTTTTCTTATTCCTGCCTTAAAGGTAAAGTAACAAAAACAGCCTGTTTAATTTTAAGGGATAAAAAGAGGATGGAAATGGTGTCACATTTGCTGCCCATTCTCCTCCTCACCATCAGAGGTCTCACTCTCCTGAGTATTGAGTTTCATGCCACCCCTGGTCCTAATCAGTGGCCATTCAGTAAAGTATTTATTCAGACATAGGTTCAAGGGCGAGGTCTTGTTTTGGTTTTTCCTGATAATTCTAAGTGGTGTATTTTGTGTTTTCTTCCTGGTTATGATCTGTAATTTTGGTATTTTGGTTTTCAGATTTGGATTGTGGTTTTGGAGTGTTTTTCTTATTGTTGACACCATCTTGAAGGATTTAACTTAGCCTCAATAAATCTGCATCTGACTCCAACCACACCCTGGGAGGGTCATTGTAACAAATGGTCATGTAAAACTGAATTATGACCAATTTTAGTACATAAAACCACACAAATGTTATAATTAGACCTTGAGGGGAAAAATTAAATACAAGAAAAATGTAGGATATGGACCCTGAAATCAAATTTGACCTTTTTTACCTCACTAGTTTAAATCTCTGGTCATACTAAACACTAAAGGCCTTTCAGAGCCAGATCAGAGAGAAACAAAATTCTATCAAGTTGCTGGAAACACAGTGCAATCCAAGTGGAAAAACAAATACAGAAATTATAAAATTCTTTCTGACCCCTGATAGAGCTGGAGAAACAGAAGACGTCGTAGCGGTGCATGTGCTTGTGTCTGGTTCCATAGCTGCGCAGCCCGGGGGCCAGGTCGAGACCTCCACAGGGGGTCCGGGGCTGAGTGATGGGGTACTGCACCGTCCCGTCTGCCAGCCAACCAGCGTTACACCAGTCCAGCCCCTCCTCCCAGGCTGTGTAGAGCTGGTCGAATGTGGCCACTGCAGCGTCCTGTTCCTCACACGCCTGCCGTGCTGCCTGGAAGGTCATGTGGTAGCGGCCGTGCCGAGGCTGGTAGGGGAACACCACACCTGAAGGACATAGAACGGGTCAAAGGTCACTACAGTTGTAGTTTGTGGAGCCAATAACCACAAGTTTAACCCCTTCTTACATTTTGTTTCATTGTTTCTCAATTGTAGCTGTTTTGTAGGAAAAAAAGTGAACAATTTTGACTTATTTTTGCCCTTCATTATGTAACTACTCAATTATGTAATTACATAAATGCATTCAAACAGTGTAACAATAATCAAAGTGATGATTCTGCTCTTCTAATGATTAAGAAAAGTAATAAAAAAGTCTTTATGCACAAGTTTGTGAAGGTTAAGTCAGGCACCTCTGAGCTCCAGATGCACTGTTGCACTCTCATCTTCCAGCCCATCGATGACCTCACAGCGATACTGCCCACTGTCGTTCAGGCTCACATTAGTGATGACCAGTGAAATTTCTCCTGGGAAGTCCTGCTGAAGGTACACTCGATCTTTGAAGTCCCCAAAGCTGCGATGCCGGTGACCAATAGCAACCAGGACATCAGACTCACTGTCCCCAAAGATGGGTAACCAGGCCCACTTCACTCGCACTTTCCGAGGGCTGTTCAGCGGTGGTTCATACCAGAAGTTGCAGGGCAGGGTGATGTTATTGCCCCTTACAGCGAACACAGAGGGCAGCTGAGCCTCGATCCGCAGTTTCACTCCATTGAAGTAGACTGCACCCAAAAAAACAGGCTTCAAACATTACAATAGACATTCTTCAACATGTCTATAAGTACAAAGCTTTTACAGGTCTTTGTATCCTGCAATTGGAAGAGCTACCATTTGTATTATATGGACAGGATTTAGACTGGCACGCTAGAAATATTGAAGTATGTTATTTTACATGGTATTGACTTACTAAATACTTTGACGTTCTTGAAGGAATAGCTTGGTGAAAAATGTAATTTACACAATTTTCTATTGACAAAAAATGTAGCTGGCCAAATCACGTTTGGTGTCCAAAATTTACTTCTCTAATTTTGCACTGGAGTTACAAGATTGATGTAGCCAAAAAATAACAGAAGTCCATTTCACCACAAATCTCCTATATTAGCATCATAGCGCCAGTGCAAAACTCAAGAAGCCCCAGACACCAAATATGTCTCAACTACAAGGTAAAGAAAAAACTGTAAATTCGATTTTTAGTGAACTTTAGCAAACATTCCTTTAATCATTAGTGCAGAATCTAGTCAGGGATGGGGGATATTTTGTCTCAACGTCTTGAAATTATGTGATTTAATTTTTCACAGGATGGTTGTCAAAAAGATACATATTATTGATCATATTTTCCAATAAATTTTCCACACATGTCATACTGTGTTGCCATCACAATCTAAAACAGAGGATGACTGTGTAAGTGAAAATGCACTGAGTGCACATGGAAGAAAAGTCTGTCAGTGTGCAGCAGCGCTCAGCGTATTGGCTAGCCAACTAATGTAATGTTGATACAAATTAATTAGTATCAACATTACATAATTTTTTATCTACCTACACTACAAAGCTCATATGCATTTCTTGTTAATAATATTGTTTGTTTTTGTACTTTAATGTTGACATAAAAAGCATCAGATATTATGAAAATGTGGAATCTCAACATACTTTATCTAGTTCTATGTATTAAATATGCAACTTTTATGTGATGCTAGCATTGTATGAAGATCATAGAGTCTCACCGTTGGTCCCCCTCTACTTGTCAGATCAGATTTGCACTACTGCCCTAAACATTTGATATTCCTTTTTAATAATTACAAAGGTTTCTTTAATGCAAGTGCATCTAAGTGCTACAGAGCCTCTGAAGTGATGGTGATTTTTAATAAGGCATGGTCACGAATTAATATATTGTGGCCTCAATATTGTAATGTGTGGCCTAAGTATGGTAATTTGTGGTCTCAGTGTAGTAATTTGGGGCCTCAATATAGTAACTCGTGGCTCAACATTTTAATTTGTGGCCACGCCTCATTAAAACTAATCACCATATCACCTTAGCGGCGCTGTAAAGTGCAATAGCGATTCTCAGAACATACTTTCTCCGTTGCCGTTGCCATTCATGATGTCTTGGTAGAAGAAGCCGTTGGAGAAAGTCGAGGCCGCCTGGCAGGAGCAGAGCAGTTGCAGGAAAAAGACCAGCAGAGGGCGCGCTTTGTCCATTTGTTGCAGTTCACTTTGAAAATGTGCTAAAACTGAAAAGAAAAGAAAAGAAAAGAAAAGAAAAGAAAAGAAAAGAAAAGAAAAGAAAAGAAAAGACTATTTTTCGAATGACTGACCAGTTCACACTTCATACTTAAAACTTTTTTAGTCAAAACTTAAACTTTATTTTATCCAAACACGATACACGGGCAGCATACGGCATATGTGCTTAATTAAAGCGTTAAAATATCATGTATATGGTACAAATACAATTTATTAAAAAGCAATCAAAAGCAATCGATTAAAACATCACCACATGCCGATATGTCACATAAATCCGTAGCCTTCCAAGGCCATGATGGCTTGTCTCCATTGATCATACTACTTCTTAAAGGAACAACACGACAATAAACATAACGTCCCACTGACCTCTTCGCTGCTGCATTCACTTCACCTGCAGCCAAAAATGATCCAAACGAAGCTGAGAAGTTTCCTCTCAGTGTCTTCAGTCTCTGATCCTGGAGTTAAACACAGGAGCACAGCAGCTCCAACTCTGAGGAGAGAAGAGGACAGGAGCTCCACTTAAGCTGACCAAAGCTGACCAGAGGAGGCTATTTTATCATGGTGGGAAAACGAGGAAACCTCTACAACCACAGGAACTCCATTGTCTTCTGAGGGAGGGGTGAAACGTCACCTCTATTACTTTATAAACTCATAAACTTAAAGCTGTAAATGGGTGAACATGTGGCATCATCTACAACTCTGTACAATTAAACATTAATAACAATAACAGCAGTAACACCCAGGAACATTATATGCTCTTTAAAATTACAGTAATTTGACTAATCATCTCTTCCACTTATCAACCATCATAAATTCATAGACATTTGCAGAAATGTTGCAATTGCGGGAGAGTGTTGTACACATTAGAAAATGAAATGATCATAAAAAAATTAGTAACAAAACAATTAACACTATAAACGGCTCACGAATAGGAGTAACAACTACAGTTAATTACAATTAGGTAATACATTTAAGAAGCATTATGGACTTAATGTAAAGATCTTTACATTAAACCAACAAAAAGGGGAAAAAAGGTCTGGTGTGGGGATTATTTTCTACCTTTCAAGACCTTCATTCTCTAGAAACACTACTTTTGTATATGAGATCATTGTATGGTCCATTTATCACTGCAGTCTAAACCATAACAAATGAGCTCATCAGGAAACAGCTTGAAGAGAAAAGAGCGCCTCACCACAACCCTGTCCACGCTGCGCTGATCCAAGCACAGGTCAAGATTCTGGCAACAAAGATACACCCTAAAAAGTGACGTGTTAAATAACAACACATTTGTTTTACCCGTCTTAACACTTTTTTGTGTCATATTGTTTTCTTATTTAACACATTCTGTGTTGAAGGTAACACAAAATGTGTCGTCTCCAACTGAACACACTGATGTCTCTAGTTAGAGACAGAATGTGTTGTTTTTTAAACACATCTGTTGTCCGAGTGTAATGAAGGTTTTTCACAATGTCATTCTTTAGGTGCTCTGGAGTTTTTAAAGCTTACCTGTAGTTCCTTTTATCATTATAATCCTGAAAAACTACAGTCCAGGTTTTGGAGAGACAAATGAAGACCAGCCTCAAGAGAACACTGCAGCACCTGGGCAGATACCAATCTGAAACTACAGAAAAATTGGGCTTAGCTATTTCGTCAGTCGCCTGTTTTGAAGCACGTCTTGATTCCCCCTCTGTCCTCAGACACTCTGGGCCATTGCATGCATGTGGAGGGCAGTGTGCGTACACCGGCGGGGCAGATGAAAGGCCTAGCTCCAGGCTAGGAATGCTGAGCTGGTCTGAATAGCGGGGGGCTGCTGGATGAGGCTGTAATTTGGGTAACAAACTGTAAGCTGGAACTGTGCTGTGAACGTGAATGTGTAACATTTGCATATGTACATTTCCACATTAATTAAATATATTACTTCAGCGCAGTTACACGTTTAACTAATATTGGAACAAAATAAAGCAGAATATAAAATGTGCCTTAACTTTTGCATGTTTTATTTCATCCCAAAATGTTACATTTGGCATATAAAAGTAATTGGGCATCAAAACATGCTCTAAGTTCTAAAGAATAACCCTAAAGTTATAAGAATAACCCTTAGCTTAATACAGAACATTTACATTATATGGAGGTTCTTTAAGCTTTCAAAAGGTTCTTCATACTTCTTCATACACTTCTCATTCATGAAAATGGTTCTTTAAAAAAAAAAAAATATCCATTGAAATATTCTATAAGGAACTAAAAGTGGATCTGCTATGGCTCCAAAGAACCCTTTCTGGCACCTTTATCTTCAGGGGTTTACGAAGTAGAGCCATAGAAATCTATACAGTCAGTTAATGTTTATTAAATACATAATCAGGCTTGTATTTAAACTCTTATTAAAGTGCTCCTCTTGTTTCACTGTTAAGTTTTGGATAAAATCTAAAGAGTTCAATTCTTGAAACCAACGCTGGAAAACTGGCCATTCAAAAATTGTCTTTCCCCATGATATTTAGATAGATATGTCAAAGCAAGATTCCTATTGGCCAGGACATCAACATTCAGCATGATTGCTAAGTTATAGAGGAATTAACTAATCATGTTTTAATTTACAATAGGTGGGATCAAATTTCGTGAGACAAAACATCACACTAGTCCTTCTGGTCCTACTAGATAAGTCAGCATCCTTATCAATGGTTGCTATAAATGGAAACAGCAGCAGGTCTAAAGTAGGCCTCTCTAGTGAGTCACTGTGAAACCGCTACAAGTTAAAACATACGCTGCTAATATGTCTGTCAGAAACCTCAAATAAAACGTAAGTCTTTTAGAAGCTTCCAGTGTCTGTGTCTAATCTAGAAAGGGTAAGAATGATGAAGTTCTAGTATCACATAGGGAAACTAGCATAATCACAGTGCTGGGATAATTACTCATGTTTTGACAGTTATATCCCAAATTCAAGGCCAAGCTCTAATAGTCATGGTTCATCACTGGGTGCCAATAATTATGGAGCTGACTGTATCTGGCAACTAGGCTCAAATCTTACATCATTCCAAGCCTTTTGACAATATTTGTCATCAATGAAGGCATATTAAATAAAGGTTGCAAAGCATCACTAATCAATCATTAGATTAAAACACACAAAGAGAGTGAATACGAGGAGAGTCCTTAAATCATTTATTAATGATGTATTTTACAAAAAGGTAGAAAAAAACAAAAACATTCTACAGTGCGGACAGAATTTGGTTGTTGAAACTGTCAATAAATAAAAAGTAATAAATTGCAATCTATATTAGAAAACATACTAAAAAGAACAGAAATGTAGGAATACAGGTGCTAATAATGCAAACGTTGCTGCTTCAGTGTAATATGCTGAGACATTTTTGAGACCTAGCAACTGATTAAAATAATAATAGCAAATGTTTATTTCTCCCTTTCTTGATCAAACTCTTTTTACAATATTTATTTGTTGTTTTCTATCCATTTATTGCACAATCCCTGACTTTATAGTCTGATTACAAACATCATCAAAGAGCTTCCACTCTTTAAAATCTAAAGGTAAAAATAACCACAAGCAAGGAGTCACTGGACACCATGCTGATAATGGGGGGTCAAATTTGGATGTGCTTGAGGCACCGTCAGGTCGAAGCATCCATATCTGAAACTTTTAGCATAAAAAGTGAAAATTACACTCTTAAAAATAAAGGTAGCAGAAAGGTTCTTTGTGAGATGCAATAGAAGAACTACTTTTCATTCTCTAAAGCAGTGCTTCTCAAAGTGGTCTTCAGGGACCCCCATGATGGTCCACATTTTTTGTGTTGCAAGTTATGTTGAAGCAAAAATCTGGACCTTTGGGAGTCCCAGAGAACCACTGCTTTCTTTAGAGAACCATTTTTGTAAATGAGATGTTTAAGTGTGAAGAACCTTTTTAAATTTACAGACCCTGCAGATAATGTAAAGTTTCAAGGAAGAACCCTCAAACTGGTGAAGAACATTTATATTATGTGTTCTGTAAATCTTTAAAAGGTTCTTCACACAAATCTCTTTTTTACATGATGCTTTAGGTAATCGAAAGCAGTGGTTGTACAGCATTGGTCAAAGAACCATTTGTGGCACCTGCACAATTTGTTTGAACACTCTTCAAAATAAAGGTTCCTAAATGGTTCTTGGCTGGGATACAGCGTTGCGAGAAAAAAGTTGGGACAGAACCATCCATTATATAGAGGTTAAGTTTTAAAAAAGTTCTTCACCTTCACACATCTCACTTATAATAATGGTTCACTATAGAACCACCCACTAAAAGGTTCTTTAGAGAACAGAAAGTAGCTTTTCTATGGTGCTGCTCCAAAGAACCCTTATTGTACCCTTTATTTTATGAGTGCATGGTTGCTAAGTATTATAACATAATTGTAATACGTATCTTTCATTAGATAAAAGTTCATACTACTTTCCTCGTGTGGTAACCTCAGCAACGTCAACAACATACAGTACAAAATTGGTAGAAAGTGCAAATATTAACATTAGAAGCATATTAACAGCGTTAGGAGGATAGAAAAAGGAAAGCTGTTATGTAATTCTGAATCTGTTACAGGCTTTAAGCCATCAAGACAACGCAGTCAGTAGAGTTTACTCTAAATGCATTAACAAACAGAGACTGTGCTACCCCCTGTGTAGAACACAGGTTAGCAGGAACATGAGAAGTGGGTCAGGGGTCAAACGGAGGGGTCAGACGGCCTCTGGTCCTCCACATGGTCACTAAACATCACAGCCTAGGAGCTCCATCCGCAGGGTGATGCGTTCGTGCCACTCCCAGGGCAGGAAGCGCACAAACCGGGCGATGAAAGGCGGCTCAAATAAGTTCTTTTTGTGTGTGTTGTTGTCGATGTTGCCTGGGAAAACCTGAAGCAAATAAATGAACAGAAAAATCTATTGTCATGTGGTGAGCCTATATTGGGTGGAGTCCTCGTATCACACATAACTTTTAAGTTAAGAAATGCTGCTTGCTGGAAGCATGAAAGACCAACAAAAAAGACAGCTGGGACCAACATTTACCCACAACAACAATCCATAAGATGGAAGTTTCAACATAAGCCTTTCCTCAGGGAAGCCGCAAACTAAGCCATGATGAGAACCTTTAGAAGGAGGAACTGACCCTGAGCTCCCACAGAACCCAAAAAACATCTCACAACAGGCATGGAGAGTCTGAGCCAGAGCTAAATAAGAAACTGAGGATTGATATACCACATAAAGCAGCACTGGCATGGGTGAGGCTGCTGCTACAGGTCCCACAGGCTTTCATAAGCAGCAAATCAAGAACACAACCCAAGCTAGGCCTGAACTCCAAATTTACAGGGACATTTCGGTCAAAATGACCAGCACCACATCTGTTGTAAATGTGCCTACGTACCTCTTAGTGGCGGAGCATTAGAGTCTAGAGTGAGATTTTCAAGTTTAAAGACTAGAAAAACCCCCTTCTGATTAAGTATCCAGAAGATAGGAGCAGCTTTTTAAAACCATAAACACTTTGGGGTAGACGCTCTACAACAGCTGTTGTAAAACTGTTTTTTTTTGTTTTCCACCTGCTGGCTAATTAAATGCTGAAGCCAGATAGCTAATGAACTTAATGTCTGTATTTATAAGCCTCTTCATTAGTGGTTCATCAGTGGATTTCTTTATCACTGTTGGGGTTTAGGGGTTCCAATAGCTATATATCGTATTCATGTAACACATGCAAGGTACAGAGAGAACACTGAAGGACAAAAGCACAAAAAGGATACAAATTGATTGAACTGATGAGGCTGAGGGATGCAAAGCGGAGCTATGAAACACTACATAACAGGCCTGTCGCAACCATGGAATTTTTATTGTTATATAAACAATTGTGATTAACAAGTTAATTGTCTGTTTTGTTTATTTTATGCAATTAATGATGTACAAGTCTAAAGCAGCTAAATTGGCTGATCAGCTGTCTTGCTTAGCTAGCTCTTTACTTTGCAGATAACAAAAAAGGACACACTGCACTGTACTGTAACGGGTGTCTGCAGTAACACAGGCAACAAAATGTTATTTTTCTCTCAAGCCTGTCAAAATGTGAGTGAAAAACACTTGTTCTGCAAGCATACATGATGAATTTAGCATTAACTATACTTCCCATCAAATTGAGAAGTCAGAAGAAAGAAGTTACTTAGTTACATTTATTTGGCTCAAGCCAACTGATAAAATTGTCCAGCTCACACTGAGCTTATACAATATGATTGTAAAATCTGATGACTATGCAAAATAACTGTGGTCAGGTGATCAGGCAATTATATAACATAGTACACACCTACTACATAACATGACAAATGGCATATCAAATGCTTCTTTTAGGCTGGAATGCCCCTTTTAATCTTTTAATCTATTTCTTAAAGTGCCCTTGACGTCATAAATTAAAACCCCAAAAAGATCATCTGTGTTGACTAATAAAATCGTTAATTATGATACATTATATGTATGTTTTATTGTTATGCTGAAGCAAATACTAAAAATGGCAAAAGTAGTATCTCTAAACGTCAATACTCATTAACACTAGTGACGTATTTGGAAAAATATCAGTCTATATAATCATAAAATGCCACTCAAGAGAAGGTACCTATATAAAAACGCATAATATAAAAAAAAACATGATTATGATAATATGATGCTGTTACAGGTACTTAGATGGGCAAATAACAAGATTTTTATTTTATTTTGTGTCAAACTAGAATTCTGAGCAAGAAACAAATGCATAGGAAAATATTGCACATTTCAAGGTCCACTTAATGTTACTCTGGTTAAACAAATCAAGCTCTTAGCAATGTGATTTCTACGGAGCCCCACTGGTGACATCCTGTATAAATAAAATAATGCATGGCCACGACTTAGTAAGGCGTGGGAATGAGATGATTAAGTCGTGGCCACGACTTAGTAAAGTGTGCGAACGAGATCCTAATGCGTGGCCACGACTTAGTAAGCCATGATCTCGTTCCCACGCTTTACTAAGTCGTGGCCACGACTTAATCATCTCTTTTCCACGCCTTACTAAGTCGTGGCCACGCATTAGGATCTCGTTCCCACGCATTAATAAGGCATGGCCACGCATTATTTTTATTTATACAGCAGGGCTCCGTAGATTTTTCAACAATAAAGGCAGCATGGAGCTTCTTTTATACATTAAAAGAAAATACAGTAGCACACAGAAAGCTCCAATTCCACATACTGATCCATTTTACTGCCCGGCTACTCTGAGGGCACATTAGAATGAGTTAAAATAATCAAAGATAAAGCCTCTGAATGTATTGCCAGGTGTGACGGGGTTAAGGTAAAGATCATTAAGAACAGTATAAGGAATTTAAAGCACTACTTCAAATGAAAATAATGTTCACTGACCTTGTCTGTTTTGTTGCTTTGTTGTTCTTTTATAACTGTCCATGATTGGCCATCGTCACTGTAAGCAACCTTAAAGGCAGACACAAACTGCACAACACCAAAGTCTTTGGCTCCTTGAGTGATGATGCCTGTGATTCGTTTAGGCTTTTCCAAGTCCACCTAGAGACAACATGATATGAATCATGATGTGTGGTGTGACCTGGGTCAAAGCAAGTAGGTTATTCCCTACAACACTGCCATATGTTTCCCTATGTAAACAGGAAACGCGACTTTCAGAGGCACATTGGAAACAGTAGTACATTAAATTGACTTGATTTAAATGAGTACATAATTTCCATACAAATAAAATAAATTACACCAGCAGAAACACTGCCAAAGGTAAGTAAAATGAAAGACAGAATGTATTAATGTGGAAATGATGTAAACATTTGAATCGAGTAAATACAGTGCTTTTTTTTAGTGCTAGCAAATAAGCTTGGACAATAATCTAAATTTAGACAAACGATAACTGCCTGCAGAAAAAGCTTCCCCAATAAATTATACTGTCATGATCCAAATTGAGTTTGCCTTAGCCTTTAGCTTAGATTTTCCCTGATGGTAATATAACTACCACATAATTAACAATAGGGCTATCTTATAATATATCTTAAAAATTCATAATGATAACTATAATCTGTGGTTCTATGTGTTTGTTTTGTTGGAAACCAAACTGCTGCATTGGTGTCCTTCTTCTGGATAAGCTCATCCTTTTTTACTGTAGAGATTAACAGAGTATCAGAGTTTCTTTGTTTAATTTGCATGTTTCCCAGCATTCTCTGCCAGGCTGAAAATCAATCTTTCCAAAGTGCATTCAAAGTATGTATTTGTGTGCAGTTAATTAGTTTGTTATGTTCTGTTTGTACAGCCTACAAATAGGTATAGTACTTAACTAATTGAGTATAGTATAATTAAGTATAGTATTTTGTATAAATGTTTAATCTAATGGTTGAGTACAATAATACATGAATAAAAGCTAAGCAATAAAAAAGTCATGTGAAAGAGAACAATAATGTACTTTTAGGCAATTTTTTATAGAGCTGTTTCAAAAGAAGTCTGGGTCACCTGAAGCCAGTCTGAGCGGTCATTGAAGTCTGCAGACCAGGCATTAGTCTTGCCCTGCTTGTCCAGGCGAGCAAAATGGGGGAGCCACGTGAATGCATCTATACCCCAGGTGCGGAAAACACTAGAAGCTGATATCTGGCCGTCTGAGATTAGACGAGACTTCATACCCAGAGGCTCAACGCAACCAACCGCACCGGAGAGCACTGTAAACAAACAGTTGGAAGAGACAGGAAATGAGAGACACATTGACAAACAGAGACAATAATATACCTAAGACTAATGAGACTGACGAGAACGAGCAGATGAGATATAAACATTTATTTCAATTGCACAATGAATAATAAATAAATAGAAATAAGTAGAGAATGTGTTCCAATTTGTTCCACTTTGGCTCTTTGAGGATTAAAATAAAATGTTACTGTTTCTTGATTAAAGCAGATTACCATTGAGCTCGCAGCCAATCAGCTCCATGCGCAGGGTGCATGCTTTGCGGCACACCACAGGGATGATGCGGATGAACTGGGCCACAATCGGGGGGTCAAAGAGGTTTGTCTTGGTACTTTCATTATCAGCGTTCCCAACAAAGACCTGCAGGAACAGCAGCAGAGGAGTAAACAGTAAAGGACGTATTAGTGTTTTGAAAAAATGTAAACTGAAAGGTTTCGCCTTTGCTACTCACCCTGTCTTTCTTCTGGCCGTCATTTCGATACATTGTGTAGACCTTGTCATCAAAGCTTGATGCCACCTTGAAAGCCTTGATGAATTCAGCGGTCCCTATGCGACTGGCCCCTTGAGTGATGATGCCAGTGAGACGCATCTTCTTCTGCAAGTCGATCTAAAATACAGTCAAAGTGTTGAAGCAGAAATTAACAATTAGCACATAACAGTGGTTCCCAAAATAAGTCCTGGGGACCCCATGCTCTGCACATTCTTCCCCACCCTAACATACCTGACCCAGCATGTGGGAGGCTTGTTAACTAGTTATTGAGTTAAATCAGGTGTGCTAGCTGAGAGAAAGCACAAGAATGTGCATTGCATGGGGTCCCTAGGACTGTTATTGTCAAAAATAATTTATTCCTTCTTAGGGCTGTCACTATAATATGAGTATGTTAAGAAATCTAGCAATTATTCTGATAATTATTTGAATAATCTGTTTACAATTTGCTTAACCAAACAATAACAAACTATGCAGAAACTTTCAAGGATTCCAGAAAACTGAAAAAGACAAAAAAAAGCCATTAAAAACTGTAAAAACACTAAAAAACAAAAATGCTATGTCAAAAAATGCATGTAAATGTCCAGTAATATTCACCAGGCTCTGTTTCACATGCTGCGAGAAGTGTTTTAGGCGGGGGTGACCAATCCTGGTCCTGGAGATCTACCTCCCTCACACTTAATCCAGTTAATAAAGGCTTTCAGGAGCATCTGAATATTAGAGCCAGGTGTGTTGGATCTTAACTTTTCAGGATGGTAGACCTCCAGGACAAAGATTGAGCACCACTGCATTAGGGTTTCTGTAGGTATGAGCAAATTTAATGGGTCCCTGCATTTTATTTTTCCCTGTGAGGTCCACTTATAATGTTAGTGTAGTTTTACGTACCACAAACAGTCATAATTCATTTATACATGACCATTTTCCCACCTCTCTTTATTCCTCAGTATTTAAAAGGCTGTCTTTGCTATTGTGCCTCTTTTAAAAAGTAGCCCGGGCTGAAACACTCCTGTTAACTTATAGCTTAATGAGTGGAGCTAAATCGCCTTAGGCTGGATAAGTGGACAAATGTAAAAGTGTTGGTTTTCGTTACATCACAGAAACAGGCTGCTTTTCCAGCTTTGTTTCCATATATATACTGTACGGACTGGGGAGTGAATGGTGCATTTGGAAACTTTAGCAATGTTTACACTCCATCAAACTATTTTATTTCAAAAAAGTTAAGAAAGTTTTGAGTCATGTTAATGCCATCTTACATGCTCCATCGAGCCAGTCATTTCAGTACTTGCCATGACTGCACATATTATGATATAGCATATATGTTTACCATAGAAATCTGTACCACTGCTAGAATAATTTCTGCTATTGTTTCTACAAAACAAAAATAACAAAATATTATGTTAGTTTCAAGATAGTAATGGTGTTCATTCACTTTTCATATTTGTTATAAAAGCTAGCACATATAAGGGTAAAATGGCAAAAATGTATGTACAAAATGCATCAGCAACACAGTGGTGGCACATTCAAAGAAGGTTATGACTGTGAAGATAAGAGTAAAGAATAAAATAAGAGTAAAGAGGAAGAAGAAAATGCTGTTTGATTTAGAAAAAGTAAATAAAATAAAATCCTAATGGTCTGACATCCACTCTGCTTCATGTAATTGGCAGTTCATGTCATTACTCTCTACTACTTACTCACAGGCTCTCTATAACTGGCCTAAATCTTTTCACATGAAACAACCTTCAGTCTTCTAAAAGTAATGACACTACTTATAATACGGGTACAAAACAAGCAAGCCAAAAATGGAAAACTCTTTCAGAGATATTTGTAGCTAACCTCAATCCAGGGATTTTTGTCATGAGGAGCTGAGCTCCAGGCGTTGACCATGCCCTGATTGTTGAGGCGTGCGAGGTCAGGACCCCAGCGCTGGAGCCCCAGAATGCCAAAGTCTACTGAAGACGCTGAGATCTGGGACTCCACAATACCCCCCGCTTCCATTCCTAACAGAGAGATACAGCCTGCCACAGGCACAGACACATATCATTACTGAGCAATGTAAAGCACTTTGTGTAATGTATTTATTTTTTTTAAATCAGACACTGTATTAATGTGTCCGACTCCTTTAAATGAATACAGAATGACACACTGGAAGTTGTTTCTAATTCGTAAAGTTCAGTGTGTGGATGGTAAGGGAAATGTCTTATTATTATTTAGCATTTATACTTACTTAGTTGGCAATTCTTGCCTACATAGGGCGAAGGGCACTGGCAGGTGTAGTCTCCATCCAGGTCTCGGCATTTGCCCCCATTCTGACAGGTCTGGTTAGTACAGTCATTCACATCTATGGAAATTGCACAAGATTCTTAAGTCCCCCTAAAAAGTTCATTTCAAATTTTAATCCAATTATTTTATATAGTGCTTTAAAAGTTTCAATTTCAACTTGAAACTGTGAGTCTTATAAGTCTTACATAATAGCTTTTTTATTATTTTCACATAGTTAAGTCAAAAGTTCACAGTTTCAAGTTGAAACTGACAGTTTTAGTACTGTATCTCAGTTGACCTAACTTTGAGCTTCCTCAATTTTTTTAAAATCCATTCTTTCCACCAGTATAGTCATTGCTAATTCCCTCCTACAGGCTACATACAACTCCATCACACAGTGACCCCGGGTCTTCCTTCTTTCAGATGTCTGACCGCAAAGGGCTGTGTTGTCACCGGGAATAGAACTCATGATCAACAGTTACCTATTCAAATAAATACACTGTTAAACTGTTAAAAACTGTTGAAAAACTGTTTTGTCTTACTAAAAATTTTGAAATCTTCTCATTGTTTCTTTCTGTAATTTCATAACATCAAGTGGCACGACTGTCTAATTGCCAGATCATCAAGATGAGTTAAAATCCCGCCGATGCCTGGGCCCCCCACATCCCAGAGTTTGAGGGGGGAAGCCCCACTCCCACCATGCCAGGGACACTGTGTGATAAGAGGAGTGCGAGACTGTAAACAGACATTAACAATGACTCAGTAGGGGGGAGGAACTGAGTAAGCAATTTCAGCATATATGGAAGTAACCACATTGTTTTGTTTTGTTTAGGTAAGCTCAATGTCAACAGCATTTTTATTACTGTGTCTAATTTAAGGCCTGTAAAATGCAGTTTAAGTTGAGCTTAAAAAAAACCAACAACAACAATGAACGTGGTTACTTCCATATATGCTGAAATTGCTCACTCAGTTTCTCCCCCCAGGCTGGGGACACTGAGTGATAAGAGGAGTGGTAGACTGTGAGCAGACATTGCCAATGACTCGGGGGGGGGACTAAGTTTTTTTTTTGTTTTGTTTTTGTTTTAAGTAATCTCAACTTATACTGCATTTTACAGGCTTTAACTTAGACACAGTAACAAAAAATGCAAGTTAAGACATCTTTTGACTAAACTAAGTTAACTAAAGCTATGCTGTAGGACTTAAAATTTCAAGTTTTTACAATGTAGCTCTACAGAATCTGGACCAGAGCCCTAAAAAGTCTCTTTAAAAGTCTTTGCTAAGTTAATATTCTGTGATTTATGTATCCACAAGGTCACATTAATAAAATAAAAGCACTTTAAAACATCAAAACATACTGGAAATCAGTAACACTGAAAGTGATCACCGGTCCTGTTATTAATAGTGAAAGGTTCTTGAATTTGCTGCTAGGAGCATTTAACTGAGCAGGTCGGGAATGCATATGAATATGTGTGAGATGAGTGAGGTAGAAAGCAGCACAATGCGAAGGCTGTCTTGTTTTGCAGAAAGATGCAGGTGTGCTCTCCTTCCTTTAAAGGAGCCTCTGGCTTGCTAGGACAGTGGACGCTCTGTGTCCAGCTGGGTGGGATAGTCGACCCTCTAGAAAAGTCACAATAGACTGTAAAAGCAGCATGTTTGGGGAAAGTAAACGTGTACCAGTGGTTTGTTAAAGGACTTGGAAGTGGTGTTCTCAACCCTTTCCTCTTTACACACAGCAGATGTTGTGGAACCTAATTACTGTTTTCAAACAGGCGGCACTGTAGGAATGTGGTGACGCACAAAGAAAAGCCTGGGAATGCACAGCACAGACAGAGGTCATGACCTCAGATAAAACCCTGGATAGACTCAGGAGCAATCCAACACCTGCAGAGGGCAGGATGAGCAGGGGTATTAAAAGATCTCTAGAGGAGCTAACATTTAGCTCTAACGTGTCATTTACAGGTCAACATGTAGGACACTGACTGTAAATTATGATGTGAAAGATACTTATTTGCCTTAAGTCAATACATAAATGCACCTTTCTGGAGTCCTACTTAAGGGGCGCATTGTAAAAAATAAACTGTGATCTTTAGAAAGCCCTTTCTTCAATGATGTCCATGTTAACACTGGCCTGTTTTAAAGTAGAAGACAACATTTCTTCAACATTTCACAGCATAGTTAATGGCTAAGATGTAAACAAAGTCATTCAGAGTGGTTTGATATAAAATGTGCCATTCTAGAGAAACCTAACAGGTCAGAATTGTTCACAGCACTGATAACCAGAGAGTTTAATGCCTGTCACCTCACAGAAAGTCTTGACATTATACAATTACAAATACACTGCCTGATGCCTGAGACATTGTTTTCCAATTGTTTTTGATGGAGTTTTGTCCTAAAATGTATTTTTTAACCCATCCATGGTGGAGAGGTAAATGCAGAGTGTTGTAAGGTTAGTTAATTGCCAAAAAATATTTTTTTCCACTATTTTACCTTTATCAGAATTACAAAAAGAAACTCAGACGTGTAGGCTCAATGGTCATTTTGATATCATGACCCCTGGTTCCTATTACCAGTCTTCTAGTTTCTCTACAGCGTGCCACTTCAGCTCATATCAAACCACTATGAATGCCTTTATAGCTCAATGTTTATATCTCAACTTCTGAACTTCTTGTGGAAATCAGTACCACTCCACTTTAAACCACTGTCCTGCAGTTCCTCATATTCACCACAGGGGGGCAGATTTTTGCAAGGGTCACTACAATATTTATCTCATATTCAGACCTTTCATTCAAGTACTGTCATTTAAGATAACATTAGGATTTGACCTATGTTGCTGCTTACTATATTCTTAAATTAGCTGGTTTTCAGATTGTGATTTAAACATACTTAGTTCACACTGGTATGGGTTTCATGATTTCTGAACCTGAGCCTTATTTTATAGACCTAGTTATGCTATGCGTTTATATATTTACTAAAATAAATAGTGGCATCAAACGATTTGTCAGTGTTTGTAGACTTCTGTTAAAGGGGGATAATTGTATAATGAAATGAAAAAAATGTAAACAAACTCATTCAGAATGGTATGATGTGACAAGCTCTGTTCTAGAGTCAGAATTGTTTACAGTGGTGGTGATTAGGAACCAGACGACCGAAGCATTTAATACCTCTAAAAGCTCCCTCACAGAAAGCTATGGCATGAAATGGAAATTAATACATGGCCTGTTTTACAATACTTTTGAGAAGCCGTTGGACTAAAATATTTTTTTTTTATATGCAGGGCATTGTAAGGTCAAATAATACCCCCAAAAAATTTTTTTCTGATTTACTACTATTTTACTACAATCAACATTGCATGTATTTGCATTGTAGACAACATGACCCCTGGTTCCTATCATCACCATTGCAAGGCAATCCAATCTGTTAAATTTCTTTACAGTGCTATTCAATTCATTATAGAAGGCATTGTTAAACACACTGTTTTGAGATAGTTTTGAGATAAAGTTTTGGCTTAAAACACTTTTTTTTAATCATGGCAGAGAGGTATATACAGGGCTTTTAGAGTCATTAAAGTCTTCAGATGTTTGGTCCACCACTGTGAAAAATCTAACTCAGTAGGCTTCTCTAGAACAAAGCATTTTCCATCAAACTACTGTGAAAGGCTCTGGTTACATCTTAACGACTTAATTCTGAAAAAAAAAATTGGATTAATAAATGTTTGATTAATGTTTAAAGAAGAAATTCTAGGCTAATTTTTGCTGGAACATGCACAACACCCATTCTACCTTGAAGTACTCAGTGTGTGTTTATCACAGACACAGCAGTCAGAAGTCCAAACACAACACTGAAAGACCATAATCTAAAAGCCAGACAGCACCTTCGCGTCAGCACAGAGGGCAGTTATTGAGCACTGTTCTCTAAACTGCTAAGAGGATTGAAGGAAACTCAAAACAACTCGGCCTCAAGCCCTCATCTCAGCAGCCTCCCACGCTCAGACACAGTCTCATCCAATCTGGGTCAGAGGTGCTGCTAAAGGTTTACTGCAGAGTAAGACTACTCCTATGAAGTAAGGGGCACTAAGTGTCAATTTTACTAATGTTTTGCACCATCACAAACTTTATTTTGCCATTAAAAAGTGACCGATTTACTAAATAGGTGCAATGACCCATAATGTGTCCCATAATAAGATGAGAGGGGCGGTCGCGGTTCTCCTGTGCTTCTGCCTCATTGCATGCGCATTTATGTAATCAGTCACAGTTTGAGCATATAGTTGTGGATACAGCACAGGTCATATGTTGAAGCTACACTGTGTATGTTTCGGGGATTTGGACCTCTCTGGTGAAAACGTGTAATTGCAAGCAAAGTGCAGAAGAACCTATTGTAACATTGATCGTGCTTCGGACGAATGACTGTAAGCATATTAAAATAGTATTCAAAAAGAACTCAGTCAAAACTTGGTGAAGAACATGTCTTCCGAGGATGTAAGTGAATTATCTACTACTGTCGTCACATCTTCATCAGTAATGTAAATTTATTTTGCATTTAAGATCTAAACATCAAGCCGGACCTTCATTGTAAGTCGGTGGGTATGATGTTAATATGTAAAGATATATATGTAGGCCAAAAACAAACAAAAAAAAAAACAGTGAGTTTTATAATACTATTTCAGGATTTACAGGGTGACTTGCAGCGCATGGACTACATATTTCTGACTCTGTGATGATACGTCTTTTAATTTTAACAAAAAAATCTTTCATAGCCCATCTTTAATTATGAAGTTGCGCTTGTGATAATTTGCATGGATGTTCTTAAAAGAAAACCTACTAAACTGGCCACCCCCACCAGAGCAAAGGGTCAGCAGACTGTCAGTAAAGTAGCACTTCTCTTAGAAACACTGCCTCTAAAAGTAAAGTAGTAACCTTATTACTCTGTGATTTACAGAGTGTTGGAGCATGGAATTAAATCAATCCCATTATAAAACAAAATAATCTGACAGCTCTTCCCACTCTGGTGTTTAGAAGAAAGATTACTTAGCTCATCTCAGCACACCGAGACCTAATGTTTGTGGTTTTAGATTGCACTGTGACATGTGACCACCTTGTTTTTGCATATGGCATCAGTAGTCGTTTAAAAAGTGTTTAGAATAAAGCTTTTTACTGAGCTGTTCTTAAGGTGTTCCTGGACCTCACCTCAGCTCCTCATTAAGTTTGATGAATAAACATATTCTGGAACCTTCTGGACAGCCGAAGGCCCAGACTGGGATGTACAAGGCTACTTTAGTATAAAACCTCTTAGAGGTTGATTAGAGCTTGGCTAATTGTACTGAAGGTGCCTCTATGGTGGCTGTTCCTGGCTAAGACTGGAGCTCTATGACTGCCAGCAGCTGGGACATTAGGATGCTCTCTAAAATCTACTTGCCATTCTTAATCCAAAGGAATTTTCCATTACATAGGTGAAGCTAAGAAAATTCAAAATATCGCTGGAGTTTAGATAAACTGTTTAAACCCTTAACTTAACTATTATGTGCCTATTAAAGCTTTGAGCCTCTGCTAACAAAAAATTGTGCCAATGCATGCAGACTGCTAGACTTCAAGCTACAGTTCTGTAGTTTAATAGGGGAATTCCACTGATTTATTAAACGTTATGCATAATTAAATTGCTAAGATGTAAATAAAGTTATTCAGCTTGTTTTGATGTGAAATGCTCCGTTCTAGAGAAACTCACCAAGTCAGAATTATTCAAAGTGGTGGTGACAGGATCCAAACTTCTGAAGAGTTTAATGCCTCTAAAAACTCTCTCACAGACAGCCACTGCATTTGCACACAGGGCATTGTAAGGCTAAACAGTATATTTTTCTGAATTACTACTATCAAATTATTTACCACTATCAACAATCACAATTGCATACATTTGCGTTGTTGACCTTATAACCCCTGGTTCCTATCATCGTAATTGCAAAGAAATCTGTTCTGTTAAATTTCCCTACAATGCTATTCCATTTCACGATACTATTTCACAGCAAACCACTCTGAATGACTTTGTTTACATCTCAATAACGGAGTTGCACAATGTGGAATTCCCCTTTAAGTTTGCTGTACTGGCTGTGGAATACCTCAGACTGTCTTTAAAATCGCATGCAAAGAGCACATTGTCACAAACAGCGCACAGCTTGCCGGGACTGGAAAATAATAACAAAGCCTATTTAAACTCCCCTTTAGTTATAGTCCTCCCTAACCACAAGTGTATGCTCTGCATCCTGGGTGTGGCTGTATGACTATAGTTATGGCTCCATCTGAGCAGCTGAACATCTCAAACTGAAATAAATATTTCACAAGCATAAAGCAAATTACTTGCAAAGAGCAAAATCATGGTTTCCTTTGTGTCAGCAGCAGGCTTTATTGCCTTCACTGCCACAGAAACAGTCATGTAGTAGAAATGCTCCTGCTATAACTGCCATGGAAAACAGTGCGTCATAGGAATAATGCTGATCTTAGAACTGTGCCCAAAAGGGGGTTCTTTCAGGCCACTGCCAGTTGAGTCCCTGGTGATTCATGACATGAATAAGCGATGTAATGTAAGCCATTTTTAAGCAGGAAACTGGGTCTGCCTAATATTCAATTCTATTCCGTTCCATTTTAACCTTTAATATTTTATCTGATGCTCTTACAAAGCAGCTTTAAAGGGCTCATATCATGGCAAACCTAATCTTTCTCACGTTTTTGAGCTGAAAGTGTTTGATGTAGTATGTAAACACTGTTAAAATTTTAGAACCTTCCGCTCGCTCCCAGTCCAGTCAAATAGGCTGCAAAAACAGCTTGTTTATGTCACGAAAATCAGCACATTTGCATATATCCACCGATTGAGCCTACAGCAGTTTAGCTCTGCCCATTCATGCTGAAGGAATGTTTCAGCCCAAACTGCCTGCTCGATGAGGCACTGGGCAGTCAATCAAAACAGAGACCTTGTACATATATCAGGCTAAAGGGCACAGCAGCCTGTTTATTTATATGGGATAAAGAAAAGCTGGGAAATTGTTAGGTTCCTATCAATCATGATTATGTTAGGTACATAAACCTGCACAAAAGTTATAAGTGGATCTCAGCAGGAAAGAAACCTAATACAAGAAAAATGTAAGATATGGGCCCTTTAAAGAAACCCAAGTGGGTCTTTGGAAAGCAGAACGACACATCAGTGTATGAATTTGTGCTGTTGTGGTCAGTTTCTTTATTGTAGTGTTTAGAAGATGCTATACTCACTGATCTGGCAGTTGACGCCCTCAAAGCCGGGCGGGCACTTGCAGACGTAGCCATTAAAAACATCTCCTCGTCTAGACCTCTCAATCACCTCACATTCGCCATCGTTTTTACATGGGCTGGGGCTACATGGACCTGCCAGAGCACAATCATAGAGACATCTAAAACCAGAATCTTTTTAAAGTTTGTATATGGAGCTTTAGGCAGTGCAGGGTGACATATTCTCTATACTGTATCCATACTGGTGTCACCCAACAGTACTGATTTTTAGTGGTACTGATTGGTAACAAAAAAAAGCTAACTGCAATGTGTTTTATTCCAGATTTGAAACGTATAAATACTAAATAAATAATAAATTTGCCTTTAAAATTTGGTTTATGTCTGGTTTACACAGAAGAAGGAGAAAACAGTTTAAGCAAAACAAGCTTTGTCAGGTTTTTAAGGCATTCTTTTAGCATAGAGTACCACTAACAAACCTATACTCAGGACGTATGGGGTCATAACAGAACTCAATTATCATCTGATACTGAGATATACATAAGAAATATCATGATATAGATCTAAAGACTTGCTGCGGTTAATCGTATAAACATGACATGACTGTTACCACTCTCTGTGGTGTTGCAGGTGTCTCCTGCAAATCCTTCAGCACAGATGCAGATGAAGGGCTCCTCTCCTACACCAGTCACACACGTGCCTCCATTATGGCACACGTTCACCTCGCAGTAGTCTCCTACGAGGACACAGAAACATCAGAGCATATAAACAGGAATTCCACTGATTTCAGGGTTGATACACGAGCAGGCCAGTCACTGGAATCATTCTGGGTTTGAGATTGACTGGTCCTGCATGTTAAGTTTTGTGAGATAAAGACAGACAAACAGGAGGGGAATGCTTTTCATGCTGCTCAATTGAAGCGGCACACAGGACAGTACAAAAGGGTCCGAGCTGTGAGCCGCATGGCCAATGGGGCTACTGCGTTTGCACAATGCTGAGACTGACCACAAGCATTAAACGCAATGTATAATAATGCCTATACGATAAACAAGAAAAAGAAGACGAGGGCATTTAAAACTGTACGTTGAAGGCTGGTTAGGTAAAAAAATACAGAATGTTGTGAGAAAAAGGGGGATACATTTGGTAAATTTCTAAATTTAAGCATTATGTACATGCTTACACATAAAGGTGGCAAAAGGGGGTATTCTGGTTCCTGTGAAAGAACCTTTTTTATATAAAGGAGAACCCTTTTTAAGTTTAAGAACCGCCACATAATGTAAAGGGTCCAACAACCTTTTTTACATAAAGGAGAACCCTTTTAAAGTTTAAGAACCTCCGCATAATGTAAAGGGTCTATGCCAATTAATAGTTTTTCCTAGAACCGTACATCCGATCTGAGAATCATTAAGGAGCCTTTATTTAAAGTGTGTACAAACACAAACAACGAGCTACACAACACGTGTGCAGGGCTGTTTAGAAAGGATTTGTGGAGGATATGTATACCTTCTGAGCTAATTCAGGTTACAGCACAGAGCGTTAAGCTCCAGCAAGACAGAGCTATAATTTTGACCGAAGACTAAAGGGAAATATGTTGCTTTAATTCTCTTAAGAAAGGTGCTCAAAGAAAAAGATACAGGGAAGACTGGAATAACACTAAATATAGTGATGCCCAGTGAAAAAGCTCAGCAATAACTGTAACAAAAGCACAAATATTATTTTGGGATAAAAACATCTTGTTTGTGAAAACTACCTTAACTTTAAATAGTATATTAAGACTGAAAAGAAATTACCAAATTATCAAGTTAAATCAGACAAGCTGGGCCAACTGATGCCTTTATGGACCAGTTCAAGGTCTTCAACTGAACTGAGCAGTAAAACAGGATACAAACTGCCTGACACAAATCACAACCAAGCACTGTTACAGAGTGAGAAATGACTTACCATTCACACTGCAGATACAGCAAAGGATTAAGCTGGCGAGAATAAAACCAGAGGAACGATAGACACTTCTGAGCCTCATGCTGGTCCACTGCTACTGACCGTTTCTTTCCACTGAAACGTCCTGAGTGTTTAATTTTCCAGGATTCCTGACGTCAGAGCGCTGGGCTCCTTCTGCTGAGGCCCGTTTTTACTGAGGATTAATCTGTTCCAGTGGGGCTGCTCGATTCTCGAATTCTTGGAGTCGACTCGAATCCGATTCCAAGAATCGATTCCACACCAGAATTTTCTGCATTCTCACTTCCAAAAGCAAAACTTAAAGGAAGACAGTGGGCAAAATTAATTATGTACATAATACTCTATTATGACTGAGCGTATGGGTGAGAATGGTTCTTATTAAGCTGAAGTCTGCTCCTTGTTGAATTTTCCCGATCCACCTTAAACTGAGATGAGGCGCCAGAATGTAGCCAGCTAGCTAACTGCTGCACCATTTAAGATGGAACCGAAGAATTCCAACAAGCTGGCGATAGGAAGACAATTTAGCCTCGTAGGGATCCTGATATATTAACTTGTGCCACCACCACCTCAGTTGTTCCTCAGGAACACAAGATGCCAGTTTACGTAGCTAACTATATGACTCATTAGATCTTAGCATGACAGTCTGAAGGTTTGGAAAGCTAACGTTAGCTTTTAGCTGTAATTTGTACCTGTTTCTCCTGTCCTCGGGTGGGTAAATGTTTAAGTTCTCGCGGAGCAGATTAAAATGTCACACATTTACCTTATTTTCCGCGTTTCTCAGAGTAGCCAATCTCATAATATGTGTTGTGAATGGTATTTTTCAAACAGTATTCCTCCAAAGTCTGTATATAAACGAGTCCAAAGCTTTGGAGTCGAATCTCTATTCCTATGAATCAGAGAATCGACTCGCTAGGGATCGACTCCCAGCCTTATGTTCTGCTATTTTTGGATTGATGGCGGTAATAATCAAGCTGGTAGGCGAATTGATACGCACAGATTAGTTTTGGGGTCTCAGTGTATTCAGTAAGCATTTGATTTCCACGTATGATATGATACGAAGCGAAGTTAGCGACTTATTTGCCGCTTCCGATTCATTTTATCATCTTCATCATCGCCGGCTGAAATCCGCTCCTTATTCGTGGCTTCTCATTCAGCGAACGACCGTTAACCAAAGGGTCTGTTCACGCTCGCATTTTTGCTGCGCAGTTTCCATTCAGACACATACACTTAAAACAATAATGAACACATTGTAATAAAGGAATTAAGACTTTGAGCTATGTTTGCCTTACCCTTAAAGAATATGACTGAAACGTAATAAAATATTTAATTTAGCAGAAATATTATGTTTAGTTTAAAGTGTGAGACTGAAGGAACAGTTCAGGCTGAGTTTTTTCAGTTCGGTTTAAGGCTAATCTAAATTTATATTTAATCGGTTTTAGATTTTATAGTATGAATCGGAAGCTGCAAATATAATGGCTAATTTCAGCCTCGTCCACAAGATAACCGTGAACCCCCAACACACACAGCCCAGGGTCCGTTTTTTTCACACGTGCACTTCTACTCCACGCCGACGGATGGCGTTGCTGTTCTCTTCACCGAACCCGCCTAGTAGCTGCAATATGTGGCGGAGCCGCTATTAGCCTCGGAGCTTCGGTGAAGTTGGTAGCGGTAACCAGAAATAGTTCGCATTGAAAACTGGCAAATATAAAATAATCAGAACTGATTTAATGTCTTGTAGTTAAACGTTAACTTAGCGTTGCATTTGAGCATTAAATAAAGCGGCTGCAGACGAAGTGAAGGTGAGTGACAGGTCACTGCATTAAGTAAACAACGTCAGCGAGTCCGTATTTTCTACATATTAGTTGATTCATGTTACCTGAGTCGGTTGTGCTCGTTCACGGTAGCTTCCAGCCAGCACTACTGCAGAAGGAACTCATTGATAATTTGATGGTATTATTTAATCTGCGCTAATTGCCAGTAAAGGGTCCGCTTTACTCATATTACTGATGGTACTGACTGACAGTACCGCCGGTTATATAGTAAAGCCCTTTAAATTTCCACGACTGCTTTCCATAATTCAGCCACGCAACATAATGATATTGCATTTTGTTCTAGCATCTTGATTCGGTAAAATCCAAGTAGCTCTCTCAGATAGGACCATGACAAAGAGGACAAGGGCTCCTTTATAGCCAAATATAGATGTTTTTTTAGCTTACTCCATAGGTTGCCTTCACTTGTGTAAATGATGGTCTTTGTGCTTTTTACTGGTTTTGTCCAGAAATGCAGGCTTTACATTGGCACTGCGTGCATGAACTTTAGCCTAATTTCTCCCGCTCTAAACCCTGTTGACATTTCTCTTGCTCAGTGCTGTCCTCTGGTGACCCTGGGCCCCAGTCAGCATGGCAGAAGCTCATCAGGCCGTGGCCTTCCAGTTCACCGTCTCTCCAGATGGTATTGACCTGCAGCTTAGCCATGAAGCCCTGCGCCAGGTCTATCTGTCTGGTCTCCACTCATGGAAGAAGAAGTTCATCCGTTTTAAGGTACACACCCACTCACTTGGATATCGCATTGTTTGTGCACATACTTGATTCATTCATGCATTTCAAGTCAATAGAAATGGAAAATCTTAAATCTTAAATGTCCACAGAATGGGATTATGACTGGAGTATACCCGGGCAGCGGCCCTGGGTTTATATTGGTGCTGGCAGGGTACCTGGGGAGGGCAAAATATGCTCAGTTGGACCCTTCCTTAGGCCTTTTCCTTAAAGTCGGGAAATACATACCAGTAAGGTAAAGCTGTCGCTCTCATCTCAGTTCTCTTTATCCTCATAGCAGATTGTGCCTTTTATCATCCAGACATTAATATTAGTGTTCACAAGATTCATTTTTGAACAAACGTTTATATTAAATCACTAATTTTGTAGTTCGCCTCGTTTTGGATAGGAACACTATATGTCTGCTCTTGTTTCTGCAGTAAGTACATGTCTCTGGACACCCAGAGGAGAGTGGGTGGCGTCCTGGTTGGCACAGGGCTCTGGGTGGCAATCATATTTACTATGAGGAACGTCCTGAGGGGCCTGCTGTCCTGGCATGGCTGGATGACTGAGCGTCAAGGCAGAATGTCATGGAAAACACGCATTTGGGTGGTGAGTCTCTGACTTGTAGCTTCATCATTTGTGGACTTTATGCTTTTCATGCAAAAACATAATGTACACTGTACAGTTCAGTACAGTTCTTTGGTTGCTATATATCCATTTTTGAACCGATAATGCTGTGTTTTTAGGTGCTTGTGAAGATTTTCTCTGGGATACAAACGCCAAATCTGTATAGCTTCCAGACATCACTTCCAAACTTACCTGTGCCATCTGTGAAGGACACAATGAAAAGAGTAAGACAGGATATTTTGAAGCTTTTAAAAAACACAATTGCCATTTCAGAATTCAAAATTATTGATTAAATATTGGTAGAGAATCAGTCAGCACATGATTTTTACTGATTTTTAAAGCTTGGTTAATCTGTAAAAGTCCAACATTACTTTAATTTTGTGTTTTCAGAGTTAACTTGGTATTTGTCGCAGGTATTGAGGTACAGCGTGTGTGATGTGTGATGACTCACTAAAATGCACGCTGATGGAAACTGTATTCAAGTTTGAAGGAAAACTTACATAAGCTTGCATGGAGCCTGGACCTCAGTTTCACGTACAGATGTTGTGTGCTGTTTTTGCCCAAACGGTGTCCTGGAGGGCCTTGACACTGCACTATTTAATCAGTGTTTGGTCCTCTCATACTGGAGTTGTTCTCAACTGCACTTGGGCACTGAATGAAAACCCTTGTATCCACAGTATCTGGAGTCTGTGCGCCCTCTTCTGGATGATGAAGAGTACAGAAGAATGGAAGAACTTGCTTTAGACTTTCAGAAGAATCTTGGCCCCTAAACTCCAGTGGTACCTGAAGCTGAAATCCCTGTGGGCCACCAATTATGTAAAGCGACTTTTCATTTGTTATGTTTAATAATTCAGAAACCAGCATTTCATTTCTTTTTATGGCAATTAAGTGCAAGTTGTTTATTTTTTTCTGTCAGGAAAAAAACAGGAAATGCATATTAAACAAAGTTATTCAGAAGCCTCAACAAGTGTACTGCACTAGTGTCTTTCTGTCATTTAATCAGACTTGTTGGTTCTTTCAGGTCAGCGATTGGTGGGAGGAGTATGTCTACCTTAGAAGCCGAAGTCCAATCATGGTCAATAGCAACTATTATGTAATGGTAAGAATCTCATCACACACCACATAATACTAGTTCTTCCAAAATATATAATGCCGTTCTTCTTTTAAACTCCTTGCCCTTCCCTCCCTCCAGGACTTCCGCTACATGTTCCCTTTACAAAGTCAGGCAGCGAGGGCTGGTAATACCATCCATTCCATCATGCTGTATAGGAGGAAGCTGGACCGAGCCCAGATAAAACCGGTTTGAACACATTAATGATTGCAGCTTGTTATTTTGATTTAAGAAAGCATATTAAAACTCCAGGACCAAATACTTGCAATAGTAGTAGTAGAGTAATAATGACTGTACTATTATTAATAGTAAACTTCGTAGCTAGTGGTGGGCAATATGGCATTATTTATAGTTAACAAATTACATCACATTATTTCACAATATGCTTTTCTGCACATATCGTAGAAATCATCGCAACTTGAAGTGGAATTCCACCGATTTGTCAAAATTTCTGCACTATTCAGTTGCTGAGTAAACTGTTTGATTAAAGTCATTCAGAATGGTTTGATATGAAATGGTTAATTGTAGAGAAACTTACAGATTTTCTTTACAATGGTGGTGATAGGAACCAGGGACGTCTACAACGCAAATATAGCCTCTTTATTTAGTATTCGAAATAGTCAGTGAACTACACTTGTCTTAGCCAATTTTAAATGTGATGTTAATAATAAAATAATGTCTTTTGTTTTTAAGTACTATTTTGCCTTACACCATTCTGCATTTACCTCTCTGCCTGGCATGTGTGTTAAAGATACGTTTTAGGCCAAAAACTTTAAAATCTCAAAACTATTTATAAACATTGTCTCAGAAATCAGGCAGCATACCTGTAATCATTTTATGCTATTCATATTATTCTATTATGTCATTAAGAATGGCTCACTGGCATTGTCCATGCTCTGAAATAGCTT